AAGGCATCCAGACACACACGAAACACTAAATCTTATACTGGGGGAGGGCATCCAGACACACACGAAACACTAAATCTTATGCTGGGGGAGGGCATCCAGACACACACGAAACACTAAATCTTATACTGGTAGAGGGCATCTAGACACACACGAAACACTAAATCTTATACTGAGGGAGGCATCTAGACACACACGAAACACTTAATGTTATACTAAGGGAGGCAACACATTTCGTTAGAATTACTTCCTAAAAAAGCGCAAGGGGATAACATCGGATTGATTTCTGATTTAAAACCTTTAAGTGGGAGTAGCGTAAAATTACATATGCATGCCAAATGTGTCATGTCTGTTAGTGTTTGTATGTAACGATGTGTGTGTAACACTACCTGTATGATAAGTGTAATGTTCGCCTTCTCAGTAATGTTACAAATATAGTTATGTTGCGAGTATTATAACTAGGTATTTAACTACACATGGGGGTACTATAACTACATACGTAATACAACCGCACACATGAGTAGTGTTACTACTTATCTGGTATTTATAAGATCTATTCACGAGCATAATTTCACATGGGGTATTATAAATACATATGTGAGTTCAATAACTATATAAATGAATGTTATATGTGGAAATATTATACGAAACTATAATAATATGAAAACTTCCTATGTATTATAACTGTTTCGTGTAGTATATCTACCTGTTCGATTAATGCAGGAGTTAGTTAAACTATATATAACTGTATGTATATACTACAACCATAATCTTTGCGAGTACTATAGCTACTTGTTAGAGTATGTATGTACTACAACCATAACCTTAGCGAGTACTATAGCTACTTGTAAGAGTATGTGATATGTGTCGGTTCTGTTACAGGGTCGGATTTCCTATGATGATCGTAACCAATATTGTAGCAATGGCCTATCTCTCGATATGTCACCTTGCCTTTGAATGGCACTGATACAGAGCCGACGGTGGAACACGTGTGGTCTCGGCTGTGGAAATTTATTTTTGTGCATTAAGTTGATTCAGACATATACTGAAGTGTACAGTAATAACTGACTTCCGTTTATCTTTATTTAATGGCTCTTGGTGCTTGTTTTTTGGGACATACTAAGTCCTGTCAGTAAAATATGAAATGTTGTGTAGGTTAAATATGCTTTATGAATGATATTAAAATGTTTATGTGATGTTACGCTGAGATTGACTACACATTCTTTAAGCAATGTGTATACATGAAGGTTTGCTGCGTTGTATCTACTCATTCAAATATTTTTCAATTCAAAATGTGTGAATTTTCAGTATTGCCAAAGTCTCGTTGTCTCATTAATGCATGCATTCTTGTGTATCTTTTCAAATATATGAAATTAATTAAACAGAGAGAGAGAGAGAGAGAGAGAGAGAGAGAGAGAGAGAGAGAGAGAGACGACTACCTCGACGACGTTGAGTAGTCGACATTTATAAAATATCTTATCTTTCCGAAGGCGTTATTGTAAGTTCTGCAACGGAAGAGTCAGTCCTTTCTTCAACAGTTGGAAACAGCTATATAACTCAACGTTTTTGCTGACGTCCTTTAGAACTTGCAGTCGTTAATATGTTCGCCCAAGAGGTCATGTGTCAGGTTTTATTTCTTAGTACTAATTTTCCACCAAGTCCTTATGTCATATTAAGACTTGTCACACAATGGTGTCTAGATTCCAATAATAAATTCTTAGCTATTTTATAGTAACATTAGCCATATTTCTGGCTTGCTCATTAACGTTGTTCTGGGATAAGTTGTTATAACGGGTAATCTATCCGTTTTTCGTTTGTAAATCTGAACATATTTACTCATTCACGATTTATGTTTTCGCATACGTAATGGTACGCACTCCAAAGGCGTTAAGTATAATGTATATAAATATAGTCACGTGTCATTAACATCGAGGACATTTGTCGACTGATCGCTCCAAGACGAATTATCATATTGTTTCTGTATTCATTGATGCCCTTTATTTACACATGAGGGATTACGAAGATCGCTTAGGAGTGTCGATTATTGAAATCTTTTACGGTATTATTGTTGTTATGAATTACTTCCGGAAGAATTTATTTAGTGAATCGGTGACAAATATGGAACGCGAAATAGATATAATGAAGAAACGAATTATTCACCTCAGTTCAGCATGCTACTATATTATTAAGAATTTCGCCTTGGAATGGGCTTAGAAAATTTGCATTTCCATCACATTATTAAATTATCAAATTCCAGTCCTAAGAGTGCTTAAGGCGCTTTAGCAACTCATCTCTGTTTGTAGAATTGGGTGATATTTATAGTTTATCCTCAAATAAAAGTAAAATTACTAAAAAAACAACAATAATATATGTGCCGATATTGGTTCCTCATGTCTTGTTTAAATTTATTTGAGAGATTGACAGATTCGTATGTAATATATTCATTTAAAATAAAGGGATTTGAATGACTTTCCGCAATACAGTAAAACCACGTCAACTGACTAAGGTATTAAGAAAGTATATAAGAATGCTCCATTAAAATCAAGAAATCCATGCTGCAGGTGTAAGTTGATATAAGACAAGGCTATGGGTCGATACTTCACGAGGAGGTAGAGCATAAAAAGGACAATATTAAGATTGCTGAGATGACTGTCAGATACAGTGACATATATATAGCGTTTAAATATATGTAATATAAGTTATTTGAAAAACCAAAACATAATAGAAGATCGTTCAATTTTGAATGGTAGCCCCCTGTGCACGATCACCATTGTCCGTGGTGGAGATACACATACACAGATACGAGGAAAGCATCTAGTAGCCTCCGGGCTGTGTGCAATCCTCGTTAAAGAAATAAAGAATTAAATATGAGGAAGACAAATTACGACTGATAAATGAAATCTATAATGATGTCGATTAACAGGTAAAATTAGGAACATTAGGACAGATTGGCCCGAATGTCCTCTGTTGTTCCCACAAGGCGCGATGATAATACCTTGTGCCTAATATCATATGTTGAAAGTACAGGGCACGAGATTCAGGTTAAATGACAAATCCTCCCCAGAGTATGTATCTGCCCAAACTGTCTTGTCTGTGGGAATTGCCAAACATCCAAAAGAAATTGTGTCAACTGGAAACTTGAGTAAATCAAGTCTGGGAATCAAAGTTAAACATCAACTGCTTTGGTGACATAAATATTACCTCGGTATATTAGTAAACAACATAGTGATTAAATGTGAATGGCTAAATTAACACTGGACGGATATAAGTTTTACCAGCGTATATTGAATGGCTAAATTAACACTGGACGGTACAAGTTTTACCAGCTTATGTTGAATGGCTAAAATAAAACTCGACGGATACAAGTTTAACCAGCGTATATTGAATGGCTAAATTAGCACTGGACGGATATAAGTTTTACCAGCGTATATTGAATGGCTAAATTAACACTGGACGGATATAAGGTTTACCAGCGGATATCGAATGGCTAAATTAACACTGGACGGATATAAGGTTTACCAGCGTATATTGAATGGCTAAATTAACCCTGGACGGTACAAGTTTTACCAGCTTATGTTGAATGGCTAAAATAAAACTCGACGGATACAAGTTTAACCAGCGTATATTGAATGGCTAAATTAGCACTGGACGGATATAAGCTTTACCAGCGTATATTGAATGGCTAAATTAACACAGGACGCATATAAGTTTTACCAGCGTATGTTGAATGGCTAAATTAACACTGGACGGATATAAGATTTACCAGCGTATATTGAATGGCTAAATTAACACTGGCCGGATATAAGTTTTACCAGCGTATATTGAATGGCTAAATTAACACTGGACGGATATAAGATTTACCAGCGTATATTGAATGGCTAAATTAACACTGGACGGTACAAGGTTTACCAGCTTATGTTGAATGGCTAAAATAAAACTCGACGGATATAAGTTTAACCAGCGTATATTGAATGGCTAAATTAGCACTGGACGGATATAAGCTTTACCAGCGTATATTGAATGGCTAAATTAACACAGGACGCATATAAGTTTTACCAGCGTATGTTGAATGGCTAAATTAACACTGGACGGATATAAGTTTTACCAGCGTATAGCAGCAGCTTTCCGGTATACGGTATAGTTATCGTTGTGTCTTGTTGCATACAAGTTGAATATTGAATCTATTGGATAGTTTTACTCCTGAATTATGACTGCGTTTCATTAGAAATACTTACATATGTGTTGTACATTAAATTATGATTGTCAATTACTTTTTAACAATTGAAGTATACGTATATATGCCTAACCAATGCATAGGAATTTAAATAAACTCAGTGTTTTCTTACCATTGTCTTCTTCATTTCTTCTTCCAGTAATCAGCAGCCAATCATTGATGTGTTGTCACGGGTGTAGAACATACCCAATGGGCCCATTGGAAATCTTAATAGGCATTAAGTACAGTTAAAACAAGTCATATCAACAGAGAAACAGGCTGATGTGTGATGTCTTTCCTTGAATTCCTCCAGTGTGGAGGCCTATATGATGCAAACTGGGTAGTCATTTCACGGGCTAAATGCAAATTAAGTTACACTGTTGGCGTTTCTAGACCCAGTAGAATGGCAATAGGGAATGGTAGGCTGTATCCTTTGGTTGTTGACGAAGCTCTTCTGACTGAGGTACAGGAGTGGCTGTGATGTTATACCAACCAGCTCGTTATGGATAGGGTATATCATGGTGATCTTTACCTGCGTTTCCTTTCTCCATTGATGTTCTCTTAGCGTTGAAGTGACGCTGCTGGTGGTTTTGTAATCGAAACGGCCAGCCCTCCGATGCACCGTTTCTTTTCATATTGTCATTTTTGTTATGGGATATCACACAAAACTAGTAATTAGTCAAACTAAGGCTGGGTAACACTGCATCTTTGGTGGAAATTAAGCAATACCCTGTCGAATAAAACAGATGTTATTCAGTGGCGGATCCAGAGACCTATCNGGGGGGGGTTTCCAAATTTCCTGGGGGGGTTTCCATGTGGGGGAAAATTGAGGAAAATGGTGAAAATACATGATTTTTAAAGAAATTTCTCAGGGTGGGGGGTTTCCTGAAGCCCAAAAAAACCCTCTGGATCAGCCACTGTTATTTGCTTCGGTCACCTTGCTTATATATGTGGCTGGACCAACTGATATTTTCTGCAATGCATGTCCAAAAGTATTTGACTGAATGCATTGTGGCGAACGCAGTGCTGTGTATACCGTAGAATATATATATATAGTTAGAGTGTTGCTCTTGTTCGTGACGCGCAGTACATCGCACTAGTATACAATTGTTTCATGGCTATTTGGGGAACAGTCAAAACTATCATCCCGAGGTAGGGGAAAGCCCTGGAGAACTGTTTGCCCGAGGCCGCTAGGCCAAGGGCAAACAGTTCCACAGGGCTTACCCTACCGAGGGATGGTAGTTTTGACTGTTCCCCAAATAACCATGAANATTACAAGCACCCCGATGACCAAGCGTTTTTGGTACTGGATTGTTGACGGTTGTCTGTCGGTAGATCTAAACATCACATTCGACATAGAACTTTTTGGTTTTTCATTGGTCAAGTAACAAAACAGTTGTTTCATGCCTTATCAGTCAACAGTCAAAACCATTTTCCCGAGGAGTTGGGACCCACCAGATGAACTGTTTCCCTCGGCCGCGCAGGCCGAGGGAAACAGTTCATCTGGTGGGTCCCAACTCCTCGGGAATATAGTTTTGACTGTTGACTGATAAGGCATGAAACAACTGTTTTGTTACTTGACCAATAAAAACCCAAAAAGTTCTATGTCGAATGTGATGTTTAGATCTACCGACAGACAACCGTCAACAATCCAGTACCAAAAACGCTTGGTCATGGGGGTGCTTGTAATTATAGGTGCGTTCGATTACCTAACATGTGACCAGTCAACAGTTGCACGTGACCAGTCAACAGTTTCACGTGACCAGTCAACAGTTTTACAGTAGCACACATTAGCTATAGTTCGTTTGGTGAATTATCTGGGAAACAGTCGAAATTGATTAATATGCATTTATATAGCGAGTCAGGTAACAATTTTGACTGTTTCACCCCTACAGCCGAAATTGGACAAAAAAACAGAAACAGTCAAAAATGACTAGTTATAATTTATATAGACTATTGGGTAATAATGAAGGTTACGTCAAACAACAGTTCTACCATTTTTGTAGGACGCCCGGGTCTTCCTGGATTTAGGCCCTCTGATGAACACACTCTTATTGTAGTTAGTTGGTGCTTGTGATAGGTCCGCGATCAATTTTAGTGTTTCGGGAAAATAAGTTATTTAATATTATGTTAAAATGATGATTGAACAATAATTTTCAACCAATTATATTCTTTCTCAACATGTACTTCAACAAAACGCATGGGACCTATAACGCACAGGTACTAGCCTCGTCTATCAATACACCCATAGAATAAACGTTATTAGGGGTGTATTGACAGTACGGGACGACGTGAGCAAATCCCTTACATGGCATCTCCTCCGAGACAAACTCCATATAGCGCATTTTCCTAAACCCTTCCATAAAATGGTCCATTGATGATGACAGTTAAATACATACTGAGGTAAAAAAAATAAAAAAAAAATAGAAACTATATATCAAAAATAATACCAAAATTACAAACCGACAATAACAATATAATAACAAAACAGGAAGTCATACTAGAGGAAGTTTGCTCATTTTATAAAAACATTCATGGTGTCTCTAACAGCATAGATAATAATATACAGAATGTAAACTTGACATGTTGTCTTAATAATAATGAAATGCCTAAACTATCTGGAGAGGAGTCTGATAGTCTAGAAGGAGAAATTACATATAAAGAGGCAGGAAAAACTTAAAAGTTTATGAAAAATAATAAAAGCCCAGGGTCAGATGGATTTACAACAGAATTTTTTAAATGCTTTTGCGGAAAATTGGGGGAGTTTATGGTCGGATCAATCAATTTTGGTTATCGTACAGGACAACTTTCTATAACGCAGAGACAGGGAATAAACCAAGGCATTTCATTAACAAGAGGCCCAAGGGCCTTAGCGGTCACCTGAGTTAAATCATAGGTACTGGTAGCTTTATTTTATTGTTTAGATGTGATGTGAAAATCAGCATGTAAACTAAGTGAAATACAATACTTGTCATGTCATCAAAGGATAAGAATTTGAAAATATTGGGGCCCCGCTCTAACCCCTTGGGATGGGGCAGTAATTCCAAGTTTACAATGTAATACCGGCATCCACCAAAGATTATTCTGACCAAGTAAAAATAATTTCCAACAGAAAATTGTCAAAATATACCTAAAAGTGTTGTTTACCTATATAAACTATAGTAAACTTTACCCCCTCCCCAAGGGAGAACGGATAGCTCGGGGGCCCTGAAATTTACAATTTAAATAAAGCCCCTGATGATCTGTCCATCCATGCAGAGAAAATGACTGTAGTATAGGACTCTGAGTCTGGGGAAGAAGATTTTTGAAAATTAGTTAATTTTCCTTTTGTGCCCCCTCCCTGGCCCCTAGGGTTGGGGTAGGAATCCCAATTTTACAATTTAAAACCATCTTCTTCCAAGGATAATTCTCTTCAAGTAAAAAATAATTTCCAACAGAAAATTGTCAAAATATACCCAAAAGTGTTGTTTTCCTATATAAACTATAGTAAACTTTACCCCCTCCCCAACGGAGAACGGATAGCTCGAGGGACCTGAAATTTACAATTTCAATAAAGCCCCTGATGTTCTGTCCATCCATGCAGAGAAAATGACTGTAGTACCTCTGAGTCTGGAGAAGAAGATTTTTGAAATATTGGTAAATTTTCCCTTTGGGGCCCCGCCCTGGCCCCAGGGGTTGGGGTAGGAATCTCAATTTTACAATTTGAAACCATCTTCCTACAAGGATAATTCTCACCAAGTAAAAATAATTTCCTACAGAAAGTAATCAAAATATACCCAAAAGAATTATTTCCCTATATAAACTATAGTAAACTTTACCCCCTCCCCAAGGGAGAACGAATAGCTTGGGGGTCCTGAAATATTACAATTTAAGTAAAGCCCCTGATGATCTTCTTTCCATGCAGGTCAAATGACTGTAGTACCTCTGAGTCTGGAGAAGAAGATTTTTGAAATATTGGTAAATTTTCCCTTTGGGGCCCCGCCCTGTCCCCAGGGGTTGGGGTAGGAATTCCAATTTTACGATTTTGTAGCCTCATCTACCAAGGATGATTCTGACCAAGTTTGAAAAAAATCCATCCACTGGTTCTTGAGAAGAAGTTGAAAATGTAAAAAGTTTACGCACGACGGACGACGGACGGAGAGCGATTAGAATAGGTCACTTGAGCAAAGCTCAGGTGACCTAAAAATAGATTTTGGAGTGATGTGCTCAAATCATGGTACACAATAAATACAAAAAAATATGACAAAATTTTCAGGAAGACATATTGAAAGTTCCCATTTGGTATGATAGTAAAATCAAGATGGGAAGAAGAACTGATTTTTGTAAAAAATACTATCAGAAAAACATTTTTATTACAAGAGGCCCAGGGGCCTTAATAGCTCACCTGGTATTTTATTTTTCAATTTAAAACCTGCTGTCAGTACCATACAGGTTTATCAAAGGATTACAAGAAACAAAGTTGTAAGAAGAACTTCATATAAATCTGTTTAGGTGGGAAAGACACCAAGAAAATGAGTTTCCGTGTTGTGTCCCAATTTTCCTCTAGGCACATCTTCCATTTATAAATATTCAATTCCCTTTGCCCAAAGATTCTCTAGAATAAGTTTGGTTAAAATCTCTTCAACGGTACAGAAGGAGAAGGACCTTTAATGTTTTCCTCTATTTCCCCTAATGGGCCCTACCCATCTGCCCCTAGAAGGGGGCCCACACACCTCAGTTTTTACCAAATTGATTCTTTTGTCCCTAATCATGCTTCAGACTGCATTTGGTTTAAATCCCTTCACTTGTATAGTAGGAGAAAAAATTCCTCTATTTCCCCTATTGGACCCCGCCCCTCTGCCCCCAGTGGGGCCACACCCTCCGTTTATACAAACTTGAGTCTCCTTTGTCCAAAGATGCTCTAGGACAAATTTGGTAAAAATCCTTCTATTGGTTGAGAAAAAGAAGATTTTTAAAGATTTCCCTTTTTTCCCCCTATTTGGCCCCGTCCCTCTGCCCCCAGGGGGACCATACCCTCCGTTTATACAAAACTGAGAACCCTTTGGCCAATGATGCGCCAGACCAAATTTGGTCAAAATCTTCTGAGCCGTTCAGGACAAGTAGCGTTTTAAAGGAAAAAGTTGCCGGACGCCAGATGCTGCGCCATGGGAAAAGCTCACTTGGCCCTTCGGGCCAGATGAGCTAATAAATGATATAATAAAGGAGGTTAGCACAGGTTTGTTTTACACATTTGTAGAATTTATTCAAAAATACCAAGTAAACACAATTTTTTTAAAGTATCAGTGTCTTGTCTCTGTAGTTAAAGACTTTATTTCATTATATAATACATACAGATAAAGATAATTTATCCCTACATACCTATCACCTTAGAACTTTTTCCTTAAAGATTTAAAAGGGTCAAATTTGTTTTACAACATCATAATCAAATCAGACAAGATACCATCTGGTATCAGAAAGTGGAATACTATATTCGACAACATGGATAAACTAACCTGGTGTAAAATCTACAAAATGCCATTCTGCGTAACAACAAATACAAGACTTCTTTTCTTTTTGGCCTTCTTCATCAGAATTTTCTTCCCAGTAATCGAGTAGATAATGAAATCATCATCATTATTAAGCAGTATATTTTTACAGAATGAGATGTATGCATAACTCATTAAATATAAACGCTCTTGTAAACATAATTAAAGACAACTATTTGATTCAAAAGTACATTGCTAATGGTAAGGGTGAAAAAGCTAAACATAAGTTTGAAAATGGCTGGAAAAAATGGGACAATCTAATAAAGTTGTAATGTAATACATGATTTAAAAATTATTTTTATGATTATTTTATTATTATTATTATGAAGCGTTCTCTATCATATATATTTTAATTTCTGCTTCTTTTCGTGGGTATGATATATGGAATCGGCGATAGCCCTTCACAAAGCCGATATATTATCTATTTATAATAAAACATACAGGAGTGTATATCTTGTTTCACCATCTCACCCCAACTTATCCTACCTTTCTTCTCCCTTCTCTGTTCTCCCTTCCTTTTTACTCTCTCTCTTCTCTCACTCTCTCTATTCTCTCTCTCTTTATGTCTATGTGTGCTTGTGAGTGTGAGTGTGCACATCATAATGGATGATGATGATTGAATAGGGTAATGCTCATGCTGATGATGATGATGATGATGATGATGATGATACTTATGGAATGATAATGATGATGATGATTATGAAAGTGTTATAATGATCATGATATTTATGAAATGATGATGATGGTGATGAAATAGTGTAATAATGATAATGATATTTATGAAATGATGATGATGAATGGTGAGATGATGATGATGAGGATGATGTTAATATGATGATAATGAGGAGGAGGAGGAATGGTGAGATGATGATGAGGATGATGTTAAAAGATAATGAGGATGATAATGATCATGAAATAGTGATGATGATGATGATAAATGGTGTGCATGAGTGAATGAGTGGTGTGTGTGTGTTCATTCATATGCTATGTAGTAACATATATTTGAAAATGCTTGAAAAAATACATACTGAGGGGCGTGGTCAGACTGCAAACATGCAAATGACATTGCTTATCAGTCATTTCACAAAATGGTTCTAAGATGTATAGTATCAGAATTATTATTCTTTAAGAAGGGGGCTGACTCCCCCAAACCCCCTGACCCCCCCGACTCCCCAACTCAATCTGACATGTCTTTTCCCCGAAATACCAAAAGATATTCAATATCTATGTTTCAAATATCATGGTGCCAAAAGTAAATATAAACCTTTGCGAATTAGAAATAATATCAGAAAATTATACATTAGTTTGATTTCCATTAAATAATAGCTGTCTGCATATATCCAATTATACAGTGTATAGACAGTTGTAGCCACCAGTGCACATGTGACTGGTTCACTGAATCTGTGGCAAACTGGCAACCCTCATTATTTTCTAATTATTAATATTGGTAGCAATTTGTCAAAAAAATAAAATAAACAATGTCATATTTCATTGTGTATAGAGGGCTTTCATAGCCTTTGTCTATTGCCCAATTCCTTTTGTATGTAAAACTTATACAAGAAAATATTCTGAAATAAATAAAGAGCGTTATGTGACATCTTTTTTTTAGTAAGACACATCATCTAGTCATCAACACAACATACCTATTAAGCTTCAAAATGAAAAGTTGTGGAGATCAGAAGTTACAGTCCAGTGAAGAATATGCACTTTGACCCCTTGTCACGACCTTGATCCAAGTCAAAAAAACATCTGTACTGATTAGCCAACGGACATGGTATACATCTGGTCTGCATCCTCTGCCAGACATGAAGTAGGAGACACTTTGAGCAGGGCTTGCATTAAAGATCGTCAAGTAGCCAAATGGTCACACTATTAAAAGATTTGATGACAAAATAAATCGAAACAACAGTTTTTTTCGGCAACACAAATTTTACCTACAATGAAATGATAAAAGTCGGTAGTCTGTGGTCATGACTGCTGATTTGGCAACATTCACTTGATGAGAGTACAGGACAGTTGAACGGAGGGTATAACCACAATGACAGTCTGGTCCCGGAAAATACATAGTGTAGCTAGGCTACCTAGGTACAGCATGGATCACCATGCTTCAATGAAGACTATGGTACGCTTCTCAACACCACAGAGGACACAATGCAGTAATTATCTAGCACTCCATCTGTGATAACAGATTAAAAACAGTTCTAGTGAAATTATTTTCAGTCGCGATTGCATGACTGTGTTTTCACCCACCAGCACATGGTGTGAAGCCATACTGCACTGTTAGAATTACACACTAATTTGACTAAAAAGGAATTATAAAAAATGTGTATATGCTAGAAAGTGTGAACATTCAACACATCTTCAAACTAGACAGACAGGACAATAAATAAAAGGACAAACCTACCCAGTGTTATCTGAAAGATTTCTTATGTTTCTATAAAATACAAGATTTATAGCATGCTTGACACCTTACTTTCAAACAACTGGCACCAATACTGCTATGATCATCCAAAATTACAACAGTATGGAATCAGACACATAACTGTTGCTTACAGAACGTTTTACATGCTGTATGCATGAAGTGCTAACACGTTAACCCTTTCACACCTAGGTAACTTTAGTAGACCCTTCCATACATTGATCTGGAGGAGTCCATTATGGTCTACAGTGGTGAAAGGGTTAAGTCATTCTAATATCCAAACACTATCATCAATCATCATTATCTCGACGTCGTGTATTCCGTGCTCCAGATGCAATTTTCCTTTTCTTAAAAGCAACTGGTTCTCCGTCGGCTCCCCCAAGGGAGGTAACTTTTTTCTCTTTGAACTTGTCCTTCTTTGGTTTCTGTTGCTGGTCCGAGGGCTGGTCGGGTGGTAGCTCACATTCTCCAGGGAGGGGTATACAATCCACAGGGACAGGTTCTATCGGAACTGGTTCATCCTCAGTCCTAACAACACTTAACAAAAACAAAAACACAACAGTAATTAACACACTAAGCATAAATAGTCAAGGAAAACCTGTTGTCAGTGTTATATATATTGCAGTTGCATGGTCAAAGCAAAAATGTCCACAATAGTTAGAAAATTAAAAGCAAGAAAATTGTTTTCATGTTTTTCAGTAATGCTACATTCTGCATGGTATGAACCCCATTCTCAATTATTAAGTATATTGATGAGCTTCTGAATCAGAAACGAGAGGCTCAATGGCCGATAATGCTGACAAACACATCTCATATCAGTGGCATTCAAAGTGGGTCAAGGTCAAATTTACTTACATTTACTTGATAGCAAGCATGCTGTTATCATTACTCTTTACTTAAATATGGAATGATGTGTGAAGATTTCAATGTTTTATTTAAAAGAGCAAATGTAATTTCCATACTTGCCAAGACTCCCTATTTAGGATGGACACCCCCAATTTTTTACCCTTAAATTTAGCATGTTCAACCAGTGAGTTTGCTAAACAATTCCTATATTCTGAGATCAAATGATTTCATCTAAGAGGACAACTCAAAATTTGTCATTTCAAAGGGTTATTTTGTCATTAGGGGTATATACACACATTTTATTTATGTTTTAATTTTGAGCATGCACAATCTCCCCACTGGAAATTTCAAAAAGTTGACAAGTATGCATTTCTTTAACAACTGAGCCAACAACAGGTAAATTATAGCTACTCTAAACCTTATAGAGCTTAAGGTGATGTCAGTCAAAGCAATTAACACATTGACCACTGTGACCTTGAAAGTGGGTCAAAATTATTCAGCTGAACATAGGGGGGCTTGGGGTCAGTGCAAATAATCCCTGTGCAGGGGTAGCAGTATACAGTAGAAATGGCCCAACTCTGATAAACAAGGCACATGTCGAGGAAATGCAAACACAGCGGATTTACCCTACACAACACATGTATACATGTATATATATTTGTAAACTGCATTACATTTACAATACATATAAAGTACTGAGAAGTGTATAAACCTCTTTTTTCTATGTATGTCACTTGTGTGAAAACCATTGTTACCACATCAAAAATTACCAAAGAAATGCCAAAAATTGCTATTATTGACCCAAAATTTGACCCCCACAAGTTCTGCCTGAAATTAAAGATTACCTACCTGGTTGCAGAATTATCTGAGTCCCAGTTAAGTTGTAAAACTTGTTTTTTTGCAATTTTGCGTTGTGTGCTGTTGTCAAAATTTTGCCTCCTGTAAAGCTTCTTTTTTTTTTTACAAATGTGAAGCTCACAAAGTCCACTTCATCATGCTTATACCAATTTTAGTACAGTTTTATTTTTATAATTTTTTTAAATATCATTATACAGGTGTTAGCCATTTAACAAAAATATCACCCATTGCCACAACCCTCTACTGTATACTGTTACCAGGAGGAGACCCATGCTATTACTCACTTATCAGAGGTCGTGATCCAGGATCCATACACATTTTTGACGGGCTGCTGGGGCTGGGGTCCAAAACTCATACCAAGTAATGTTTCTGTGTCAATGTTTGAGGCTGAGGTATACTCTGGTTCTACAGGATTCTCCTCGGCAGCCTAAAATGACAGTGATATGAGCAGTCAATCAGAGTACCAAAGGAAAAACATCAACAGTATATCGAATTATAATTACACAGGGAAACAACAGAAACAAATACAGTCTGTCTATACATGTACCAAGGGACACAATACCTACAGTCTATCCTGATACACAGGGAAACAACAGAAACTAATACAGTCTGTCTATACATGTACCAAGGGAGACAATATCCACAGTCTATCCTGGTACACAGGGAAACAACAGAAACAAATACAGTCTGTCTATACATGTACCAAGGGAGACAATATCCACAGTATACACTGGTACACAGGGAAACAACAGAAACAAAGACAGTCTGTCTATACATGTACCAAGGGAGACAATATCCACAGAAAATACAGGTACACTGGGAAAGAACAGAAACTAATACAGTCTGTCTATACAGGTACCAAGGGAGACAATATCCACAGTCTAGCCTGGTACACAGGGAAACAACAGAAACAAAGACAGTCTGTCTATACATGTACCAAGGGAGACAATATCCGCAGTCTATCCTGGTACACAGGGAAACAACAGAAAAAAATACAGTCTGTCTATACATGTACCAAGGGAGACAATATCCACAGAAAATACAGGTACACTGGGAAACAACAGAAACTAATACAGTCTGTCTATACATGTACCAAGGGAGACAATATCTACAGTCTATACAGGTACACAGGGAAACAACAGAAACTAATACAGTCTGTCTATACATGTACCAAGGGAGACAATATCCACAGTATACCCTGGTACACAGGGAAACAACACAAACAAATACAGTCTATCTATACATGTAATAATGGAGACAATATCCACAGTCTATCCTGGTACACAGGGAAATAACAGAAACAACAACAGTCTTAACATGTACCAAAGGAGACAATTTCTACAGTATATCCAGGTTCATAGGGAAATGACAGAAACAACAACAGTCTATACATGTACCAAAGGAGACAACATCAACAGTATATACAGGTACATAGGGAAACAACAGAAACAACAACAGTCCATACATGTACCAAGGGAGATAATTTCTACAGTATATCCAGGTTTATAGGGAAATGACAGAAACAACAACAGTACATACATGTACAAAGGGAGATAATTTCTATAGTATATCCAGGTTCATAGGGAAATGACAGAAACAACAACAGTCCATACATGTATCAAGGGAGACAATATCTACAGTATATACAGGTACATAAGGAAACAAGACATTCAGATTGATATGTCTCTCCTATGCCCCGCTTTGACCAACAATGCACATATCAGAGAAACTAACTTAAACTCAAAAACTTAATGTTGATGGAGATGATGACAAAGTCAATGGACCATGAAAGGTAGGCTGCATCCAGCATTTGATGCATGGGTTGAGATGTATTACCTAAGATACATCTATGGTCCAAGTTTTGTTGGTGTAGCACTTAGACTTACAGAGAAACTATCTTAAACGCAAAAACCCAATGTTGATGCCATCTCCGCTGTCGCCGGAAAAGCACACCTAAGTCTCGATTCCACTACCTGACTACCAAAGGAGACAACATCAACAGTAACTACACAGCGCAACAACAGAAACAACAACAGTCTAAACATGTAACAATGGAGACAATATCTATAGTATCTCCTGGTTCACAGGGAAACAACAGAAACAACAGTCTAAACATGTAATAGTGGAGACAATATCTATAGTACCTCCTGGTATACAGCGCAACAGCAGAAACAACACCAGTCTAAACATGTAATAGTGGAGACAGTATCTATAGTATCTCCTGGGACACAGCGCAACAACAGAAAAAACAACAGTCTAAACATGCAATAGTGGAGACAATATCTACAGTATCTCCTGGTACACAGCGCAACAACAGAAAAAACAACAGTCTAAACATGTAACAATGGAGACAATATCTATAGTGCCGCCTGGTACACAGCGCAACAACAGTCTAAACATGTAACAATGGAGACAATATCTATAGTGCCGCCTGGTACACAGCGCAACAACAGTCTAAACATGTAATAGTGGAGACAATATCTATAGTACCTCCTGGTACACAGCGCAACAGCAGAAACAACAACAGTCTAAACATGTAATAGTGGAGACAATATCTATAGTATCTCCTGGGACACAGCGCAACAACAGAAACAACAACAGTCTAAACATTTAATAATGGAGACAATATCTATAGTAAATCCTGGTACATAGGGAAACAACAAAAGCAACAACAGTCTTTACATGTAATAATGGAGACAATATCTATAGTAAATCCTGGTACACAGCGCAACAACAGAAACAACAACAGTCTAAACATGAAATAATGGAGACAATATCTATTGCATCTCCTGATACACAGCGCAACAACAGAAACAACAACAGCCTAAACATGTAATAATGGAGCCAATATCTATAGTATCTCCTAGTACATAGGGAAACAACAGAAACACCAACAGTCTAAACATGTAATAATGGAGCCAATATCTATAGTATCTCCTGGAACATAGGGAAACAACAAAAAAAACAACAGTCTTTACATGTAATAATGGAGACAATATCTATAGCATCTCCTGATACACAGCGCAACAACAGAAACAACAACAGTCTAAACATGTAATAATGGAGACAACATCTATAGTATCTCCTGGTACATACGGAAACAACAAAAACAACAACAGTCTTTAAATGTAATAATGGAGACAACATCTATAGTATCTCCTGTTTCACAGGAAAACAACAGAAACAACGGTCTAAACATGTAATAAGGGAGACAATATCTATAGCATCTCCTGATACACAGCGCAAAAACAGAAACAACAACAGGCTAAACATGTAATAATGGGGACAATATCTATAGTATCTCCTGATACATAGGGAAACAACAAAAAAAACAACAGTCTTTACATGCAATAGTGGAGACAATATCAATAGTATCTCCTGGTACATACGGAAACAACAAAAACAACAACAGTCTTTAAATGTAATAATGGAGACAACATCTATAGTATCTCCTGATACATAGGGAAACAACAGAAACAACAGTCGAAACATGTAATAATGGATAAAATATCTATAGTATCTCCTTGTTCATAGGGAAACAACAAAAACGACGAAAGTCTTTACATGTAATAATGTAGACAATATCTATAGCAGGGGTGTCACAATATGCCAAGAGTATATCACGATATATTGCAATACAGACTGAATATATTGCGATACGCATCCTGATATATTGTCATAGGAAGGATGTGCTCAGTAATATAATAAGTTGTTGTCAGAGTGTTATCAAACTAAATCATATACAATATGGATTACATAGATTAAAGATTTTTGTCAAACCAACCATCGATTACAAAATTTGAACTATTAAAAGCCTGCTTTCTATGCTTATTGGCATATCTGTTAGAATTTGTAGTAATTTGCAAAGTTAAAACACCAAAAACACACTGATACACAGGGAATCAACAGCAGTCTAGCAGAGTACGAAAGGAGACAATATCTACACTATATACATATTCACAGGGAAACAACAGAAACAGCAATAGTCATTCTCAAACTTTGGTGAGCTTTTATTCCAAGAAGATACCAGCCAAATATTGTGATTCTATGGCTTTTGATTATTCTGAAAAAGTTGTTTGATGTTTTTGACATATTTGACCCCTTTGACCATGAAAGAATGCCAAGGTCATTTTCATTTACAAACTTTGTTGTGCTTAATCTCAAGAAGCTACCATCTAAATATGAAGATTCAATACCTTTCAGTTTTTAAGAAGTCATTTGAAGTGTTTGACATATTTGACCCCTGTGATCTTGAAAGTAGGTGAAGGTCATTTTCGTTCCCAATCTTTGTCGGTCTCTTACCAACAAAATTTTCAGCCAAATATCATGACTCTAGGCTTGTCCATTATTCAGTAAAAGTCGTTTAAAGGAAAAGTTGATAGACACAGACGCCAGACATAAGCTCACTTGCCCTTCGGGCAGGTGAGCTAAAAGTCTATTGATGTCCCAAGGAGACAACAACAGTCAATACAATTACATAAAGAAACATAATCACTTCGTGCATGTCATGAGTACACCAACGGTTTATACATTACCAAGGGAGACAACAACAGTCAATACATAAACCTAGAGATACTCTAACACTATATACATGTACCTAAGGAGTCATCAACATTTTGTACATTACCAAGGGAGACAACAACAGTCAATATATAAACCTAGAGAGACCCTAACACTATATACATGTACCTAAGGAGACACCAATATTTGATATATTACCAAGGGAGACAACAACAGTCAATACATAAACCTAGAGAGACCCTAACACTATATACATGTACCTAAGGAGACACCAACATTTGATATATTACCAAGGGAGACAACAACAGTCAATACATAAACCTAGAGAGACCCTAACACTATATACATGTACCTAAGGAGACACCAATATTTGATATATTACCAAGGGAGACAACAACAGTCAATACATAAACCTAGAGAGACCCTAACACTATATACATGTACCTAAGGAGACACCAACATTTGATATATTACCAAGGGAGACAACAACAGTCAATACATAAACCTAGAGATACCCTAACACAATATACATGTACCTAAGGAGACACCAATATTTGATATATTACCAAGGGAGACAACAACAGACAATACATAAACCTAGAGAGACCCTAACACTATATACATGTACCTAAGGAGACACCAACATTTGATATATTACCAAGGGAGACAACAACAGTCAATACATAAACCTAGAGATACCCTAACACAATATACATGTACCTAAGGAGACACCAATATTTGATATATTACCAAGGGAGACAACAACAGACAATACATAAACCTAGAGAGACCTTAACACTATATACATGTACCTAAGGAGACACCAACATTTGATATATTACCAAGGGAGACGACAACAGTGAATACATAAACCTAGAGATACCCTAACACTATATACATGTACCTATGGCGACACCAACATTTGATATATTACCAAGGGAGACAACAACAGTCAATATATAAACCTAGAGAGACGCTAACACTATATACATGTACCTATGGAAACACCAACATTTGATATATTACCAAGGGAGACAACAACAGTCAATACATGAACCTAGAGAGACCCTAACACTATATACATGTACCAAAGAAGACAATTTCTACAGTATATCCAGGTTCATAGGGAAATGACAGAAACAACAACAGTCTATACATGTACAAAGGGAGATAATTTCTACAGTATATCCAGGTTCAGTCTATACATGTACCAAGGGAGATAATTTCTACAGTATATCCAGGTACATATATATATAGGGAAAAAACAGAAACAACAACAGTCCATACATGTATCAAGGGAGACAATATCTACAGTATATACAGGTACAAAGGGAAACAACAGAAACAACAACAGTCCATACATATACCAAGGGAGACACTATCTACAGTATATACAGGTACATAAGGAAACAAGACATTCAGATTGATATGTCTCTCCTATGCCCCGCTTTGACCATCAATGCACATATTGGAGAAACAAACTTAAACTCAAAAACTTAATGTTGATGGAGATGCTGACAAAGTCAATGGACCATGAAAGGTAGGCTGCATCCAGCATTTGATGCATGGGTTGAGATGTATTACCTAAGATGCATCTATGGTCCAAGTTTGGTTGGTGTAGCACTTAGACTTACAGAGAAACTATCTTAAACGCAAAAACCCAATGTTGATGCCATCTCCGATGTCGCCGGAAAAGCACACCTAAGTCTCGATTCCACTACCTGACTACCAAAGGAGACAACATCAACAGTAACTACACAGCGCAACAACAGAAACAACAACAGTCTTAACATGTAACAATGGAGACAATATCTATAGTATCTCCTGGTACATAGGGAAACAACAAAAACAACAACAGTCTTTACATGTAATAGTGGAGACAATATCTATAGCAGGGGTGTCACAATATGCCAAGAGTATATCACGATATATTGCAATACAGACTGAATATATTGCGATACGTATCCTGATATATTGTCATAGGAAGGATGTGCTCAATAATATAATAAGTTGTTGTCAGAGTGTTATCAAACTAAATCATATACAATATGGATTACATAGATTAAAGATTTTTGTCAAACCAACCATCGATTACAAAATTTGAACTATTAAAAGCCTGCTTTCTATGCTTATTGGCATATCTGTTAGAATTTGTAGTAATTTGCAAAGTTAAAACACCAAAAACACACTGATACACAGGGAATCAACAGCAGTCTAGCAGAGTACGAAAGGAGACAATATCTACACTATATACATATTCACAGGGAAACAACAGAAACAGCAATAGTCATTCTCAAACTTTGGTGAGCTTTTATTCCAAGAAGATACCAGCCAAATATTGTGATTCTATGGCTTTTGATTATTCTGAAAAAGTTGTTTGATGTTTTTGACATATTTGACCCCTTTGACCATGAAAGAATGCCAAGGTCATTTTCATTTACAAACTTTGTTGTGCTTAATCTCAAGAAGCTACCATCTAAATATGAAGATTCAATACCTTTCAGTTTTTAAGAAGTCATTTGAAGTGTTTGACATATTTGACCCCTGTGATCTTGAAAGTAGGGCGAGGTCATTTTCAAACTTTGTTGACTTCTATCCCATGAAACCACCACTCAAATATGAAGATTTCATACCTTTCAGTTCTTAAGTCGTTTGTAATGTTTAACACATTTGACCCCTGTGACCTTGAAAGTAGGTGAAGGTCATTTTCGTTCCCAATCTTTGTCGGTCTCTTACCAACAAATTTTTCAGCCAAATATCATGACTCTAGGCTTGTCCATTATTCAGTTAAAATCGTTTAAAGGAGAAGTTGATAGACACAGACGCCAGACATAAGCTCACTTGCCCTTCGGGCAGGTGAGCTAAAAGTCTATTGATGTCCCAAGGAGACAACAACAGTCAATACAATTACATAAAGAAACATAATCACTTCGTGCATGTCATGAGTACACCAACGGTTTATACATTACCAAGGGAGACAACAACAGTCAATACATAAACCTAGAGATACTCTAACACTATATACATGTACCTAAGGAGTCATCAACATTTTGTACATTACCAAGGGAGACAACAACAGTCAATATATAAACCTAGAGAGACCCTTACACTATATACATGTACCTAAGGAGACACCAATATTTGATATATTACCAAGGGAGACAACAACAGTCAATACATAAACCTAGAGATACCCTAACACTATATACATGTACCTAAGGAGACACCAATATTTGATATATTACCAAGGGAGACAACAACAGACAATACATAAACCTAGAGAGACGCTAACACTATATACATGTACCTAAGGAGACACCAACATTTGATATATTACCAAGGGAGACGACAACAGTGAATACATAAACCTAGAGATACCCTAACACTATAAACATGTACCTATGGAAACACCAACATTTGATATATTACCAAGGGAGACAACAACAGTCAATATATAAACCTAGAGAGACCCTAACATAATTAATATACATGTACCTAAGGAGGCACCATAATTTGATATATTACCAAGGGAGACAACAACAGTTTATATATAAACCTAGAGAGACCCTAACACTATATAAATGTACCTAAGGAGTCATCAACAGTTTGTACATTATCAAGGGAGACAACAACAGTTCATAAATTAACCTAGAGAGACCCTAACAATATACACATGTACCTAAGGAGGCACCGTAATTTGATATATTACCAAGGGAGACAACAACAGTTTATATATAAACCTAGAGAGACCCTAACACTATATACATGTACCTAAGGAGTCATCAACAGTTTGTACATTACCAAGGGAGACAACAACAGTCAATACATAAACCTAGAGAGACACCAAAAATACATACATGTCTCTAAGGAGACACAAAAAATTAATATATTACCAAAGGAGTATATACATATAACTTAAATTAGGAGACAACAACCAACTTTATATGTACCTAAATAGACAACAATAATCAACACAAGCACCCAAGGAGAAAACTGTTTGTACATTCAGGGAAATTTCTATTTGACTTCTGAAATCGCTAAATGTCAAGGGTCATTTAAAAACCATGGAGACAGTAACTGACTAAACCAGTACCTACAATATCAGTCTATACATATACCTAAAGAATCAGAATCGTACATGTACCTATCGCATCTGATTGTGTCTTTTCGGAACCTTATCCAATAAGAGGCCCAAAGGGCCTGTATCGCTCACCTGGATATCTAAGCAATCATGGCATAATATTCTCCAAATGAGATCCAAGGGAATATGTCAGACCCAAAGGCCAATTCTTGTAGCATATCTGTATTAGATTTTTCATGCCCAGCAATTTTATGCATGGTTATGGGGTAGGGATCTCAACTGTTTCCAAGCTGTGACTCAGAAACTAGGTCCCTAGGGTTGTGGCAAGACCCCAGGATCAATTATAATATCATGACTGCATTTGTCTCTTTTTGCCCAGCATGTGTATATATAGTTTTGGGGTGGGGATCTCAACTGTTTCAAGATTATGACCCAGGGGTTAAGTCTCCAATGGTGGGGCAGTTCCCAAGGCCATCCTGGAAGCATATGTGCATTCACCTCTTTATACTCAGCATTTGTATATATTGTTGTAGGGTGGGGATCTCAACTGTTTCCAAGCTGTGCCTAGGAAACTAGGTCCCTAGGGGTTTGGTCAGACCCCAGGGTCTATTCTAATATCATGACTGCATTCATATCTTTATGCCCAGCATTTGTATATATAGTTTTGGGGTGGGGATCTCAACCGTTTCAAAGTTATGTCCCTTTTGGCCCCGCCCCTCAGCACCCTGGGGGGTCAGCCCCACTATTTGTACAATTCTAAATCCCCACCACCTAGAGATGCTTCCAGTCAAATTTAGTTAAATTCCAGTCAGTGGTTAAGAAGAAGAAGTCATTTAAAGCAATTGTTGACGTACAGACGACGGACGGACGACGGACCCCACGGTATGGCATAAGCTCACCTTGGTCCTTCTGACCATGTGAGCTAATAAATAGCATTACCATCAGCTGGCCGCTTTCTTCTTTAGCCTTTTTCTCCTCCCTTTTCTTTTGTTCTTCCAGTGATACAAATTTTTCTGGTGCCACCCATACTGGCTCTGAAACATAAGTTTCTATACTGTCAGCAGTAAATATAAGGTATGTAATTCAGCACCAAAAGAACGACAGAAATTATTGTGAGGTAAGATAAGACATCTTACAACTAAAGAGAAATGAGTAGGTGCACATATTTTGTAAGCTTTTACACCTTTACCTTATGTTCAGAGAGAATATAACAATGTTTATAAGTAGATTCTGTGTACCCAGTAAGCTGTGCACCTTTACCTTATGATTAGAGAGAATATAACAATGTTTATAAGTAGATTCTGTGTACCCAGTAAGCTGTGCACCTTTACCTTATGATCAGAGAGAATATAACAATGTTTATAAGGAGATTGTGTGTACCCTGTGTGATGGTATGCCAGTAATAGGAGTAGCCCTCGGGAGATGTTGCCTCTAACCATTCACCGGCATCTTCAGGTGTAGATTCTTCTTCTTCTTCTTCTCCTTCAGATTTTTGTTCTTTCTCAAGTTCTTCCTTTCCTTCATTTTGTTTTTCTGAAATCATGATAACACGATTGTTGATTGTAGAACTAGAGTGTCTCTTCATACTTAGCTCTGTACTTCCATCTCCTTACTTCAGGTTGGAGGTAGATATATATCTTTATCAGTGTTCAGTTTATGCAGTGATCTGGGCATTCCTATTATAAAGCCTGTATACAAGATATCTCAACACAGATTAACTTTGTATTTACAATATTATAACGAGTGGTAATATCAAGTTCTCCGTCTTAGGTCATTGGTCAAGGTTAAAGGTCAACGGTCACACACAACCTATTTGACGGGGATGACTTAAGTCAAGGTAGGTTTACCTATTTCAAGCTTTAGTATGTCAAAGATGGTGTTATGGTAGAGTTTTCTGTTCTTAGTTAATGTTATGGTAGAGCTATCTGCTTTTAGTTGAAGCTTTGGTAAAGTTATCTACTTTTAATTGGTATAATAATAGAGCTGTTAGATGATGTCATGGCCTTTAGCTGATGATAAGGTACAGTAATATTCTCTGTTTGGTGTTAGGAGAGAGTTACTTACCTTTAGCTGCCTTTATCTTTGCACTGTACTGTGCTGCTAACTCTGGGTTCTCTGCGAGGTCTTTCTTAAAGGCCTCCAGTGCAGCCTGAGTAAATAATTAATGGACAGTAAAGGTAACTACACCTCAGGAAGACATGGGTAAACTCTAGCACCATAGGTAGACATTGGTAAACTGTAACACCTCAGGTAGACATGGGTAAACTCTAGCACCTCAGGAAGACATGGGTAAACTCTAGCACCGTAGGTAGACATTGGTAAACCTCAAGCACCTTTAATAGGTAGACATTGGTAAACTCAAGCACCTTTATGTAGAAATGAATAAACTTTAGCTTAAGCTAAAGAAGTCTTGGTAGATATGGGTAAGCTCTATCAGCCTCAGGTAGTATGATATTGGTAAGCTTTAGATGACTGGGTATATATGGGTAAGCTTTAAAAGCCTCAGATAAATATGGTTTAGATTTAGAAGACTTGGGTAGATATGGGTAGAGTGGCCTCAGGTAGTATGGGTAAGCTTTAAAAGACTTGTGTGATATGGGTAAGCTTTAGAAGACTTTGGTATATATGGATAAGCTTTAGAAGACTTTGGTATATATGGATAAGCTTTACTTTGGTAGATAGGTTTAAGCTTTAGACGACTCTGGTAGATATGGATAAGCTTTAGATGACTTGGGTAGATATGGGAAAGCTTTCAACACCTCAAATAGATATGGGTAAGCTTTAGATGACTGGGTATATATGGGTAAGCTTAAAAAGACTTGGGTAGATATTGGAAAGCTTTAGAAGTTTCAGATAGCTTTAGAAGACTTGGGTAGATAGGTTTAAGCTTTAGACGACTCTGGTATATATGGGTAAGCTTTAGATGACTGGGTATATGTGGGTAAGCTGTAGCAGACTTGGGTAGATATTGGAAAGCTTTCAACGCCTCAAATAGATATGGGTAAGCTTTAGAAGTTTCAGATAGCTGTAGAAGACTTGGATAGATAGGTTTAAGCTTTAGATGACTCTGGTAGATATGGGTAAGCTTTAGAAGCCTCAGGTAGATATGGGTAAGCTTTAGAAGACTGAGGTAGATATGGGTAAGCTTTAGAAGCCTGAGGTAGATATGGGTAAGCTTTAGAAGCCTGAGGTAGATATGGGTAAGCTTTAGAAGCCTGAGGTAGATATGGGTAAGCTTTAGACGACTGAGGTAGATATGGGTAAGCTTTAGAAGCCTGAGGTAGATATGGGTAAGCTTTAGAAGACTGAGGTAGATATGGGTAAGCTTTAGAAGCCTGAGGTAGATATGGGTAAGCTTTAGAAGCCTGAGGTAGATATGGGTAAGCTTTAGAAGCCTGAGGTAGATATGGGTAAGCTTTAGACGACTCTGGTAGATATGGGTAAGCTTTAGAAGCCTGAGGTAGATATGGGTAAGCTTTAGACGACTCTGGTAGATATGGGTAAGCTTTAGAAGCCTGAGGTAGATATGGGTAAGCTTTAGAAGCCTGAGGTAGAAATGGGTAAGCTTTAGAAGACTGAGGTAGATGTGGGTAAGCTTCAGTAGCCTGGGATACATATGGGTGATATAAGCACTAACATCCTCAGGCATAAATAGTGGCTATCTATAACAGCCTAAGGTTGATATGGCTTAGCCGTAGTAATGAGTTACAATCAACATAAAGGCAGCACTGATCCAAAGTATGTAGTTACTTTACAGATGGTTGTATAAAACACTTGCATTTATATTTCTTAGTAATTATAGAAATTAAAGTAATCTTTAACATGTAAATTCAAAACTAGTTTTATGAATGTTTATGAAAAATTCAAATAAGCAGAATAACAATTACTCATGATCAGTTATTGATATTAGTGTTGTTGATAAAGTGTGTTCACATTAATGTTTTCATTATATAAACATTTTACCAACAAATTTGATTATTTCTTTCCCTCTCCCCTTAACTTTTTCTGTTACAGAAAATATACCATCACCAATAAACAATACAATCTGCAGAAGCAGTTGAAGAAAACCCAGCAAACAGTATTAATAGACATCTCCGGCAACGGCAAATAGTGAAATAAGGAGTAACATAGAACAAGTCCAGCACCTCCTCCATCTTCCTGAAGTCTTCTGCTGCCTCTTCCTTTTTCTCAGCATCTTTGGTACTTTTCCTCCTCACCTACAAACAAAGTGTCAGCATGTCATGTATACATCACTAGGTTCACATATCTTCTGTTCTAATTAATCAGATACATGTATACATCATTTGTATATGTCTAATTCAAAGATAAGTGACAGCTGCTCAAATATACATATCAATACAATAATAACTGGGATGCAAATGATTTCATTGACCAGTGACCTTGTCAGTGACCAGTAACTTTGTCAGTGATCTAGTGACCTTGTCAGTGACCAGTAACTTTGTAAGTGATCTAGTGACCTTGTCAGTGACCAGTAACTTTGTCAGTGATCTGGTGACCTTGTCATTGACCAGTAACCTTGTCAGTGATCTGGTGACCTTGTCATTGACCAGTAACTTTGTCAGTTATCTGGTGACCCTGTCAGTGACCAAAAACTTTGTCGGTAATCTGGTGACCTTGCCATTGAACAGTTACTTTTTCAGTGATCTGTTGACCTTGTCATTGACCAGTAACTTTGTCAGTGATCTGGTGACCTTGTCATTGACCAGTAACTTTGTCAGTGATCTGGTGACCTTGTCAGTGACCAGTAACTTTGTCAGTGATCTTGTGACCTTGTCATTGACCAGTAACTTTGTCAGTGATCTGGTGACCTTGTCATTGACCAGTAACTTTGTCAGTGATCTGGTGACCTTGTTATTGACCAGTAACTTTGTCAGTGATCTGGTGACCTTGTTATTGACTAGTTACTTCATCAGTGATCTGGTGACCTTGTCAGCCTGTAAGTGACCAGTAACTTTGTCAGTGATCTGGTGACCTTGTCATAGACCAGTAACTTTGTCGGTGATGATCTGGTGACCTTGTCATTGACCCGTTACTTCATCAGTGATCTAGTGACCTTGTCATTGACCAGTTACTTCATCAGTGATCTGGTGACCTTGTCATAGACCAGTTACTTCATCAGTGATCTAGTGACCTTGTCATTGACCAGAAACTTTGTCAGTGATCTAGTGACATTTTTATTGAGAGATGACCTTTTCTGTGACTGATATATTGTTAACAGATGATATCAATAACTGCCCCATCTGACACCTACCTCATCAATTTTCCTTTTTACATTTTCTTGATGCTTTTTTCCTTTTTCATGAAAGTCAACACTCTAAATAAAAGGAAAGAAAATATATTTATGTTTCATCAAAAACAGTCAGTACAACATTACTATACAACATTAATTATCACTTTTTTTTTCCGTGTGTTGTATTAATACTGGTTTTCTATATACAATGTATGCTGTATCTGTACAGGTTTATTATCTATGTTGTATCTGTACTGGTTTATTATCTATGCTGTATCTGTACTGGTTTATTATTTTTGCTGTATCTGTACTGATTTATTATCTATGCTGTATCTGTACTGGTTTATTATCTATGCTGTATCAATACTTATGTATTATCTATGCTGTATATGTACAGGTTTATTATCTATGCTGTATATGTACAGGTTTATTATCTATGCTGTATCAATACTTGTGTATTATCTATGCTGTATCAATACTTGTTTATTATCTATGCTGTATCTGTACTGGTTCATTATCTATGCTGTATCTGTACTGGTTTATTATCTATGCTGTATATGTACTGGTTTATTATCTATGCTGTATCAATACTTGTGTATTATCTATGCTGTATCAATACTTGTTTATTATCTATGCTGTATCAATACTTGCGTATTATCTATGCTGTATCAATACCTGTTTATTATCTATGCTGTATCAATACTTGTTTATTATCTATGCTGTATATGTACAGGTTTGTTATCTATGAATACTTACTGATTTATTATCTAAGAATACTTACTGGTTTATTGTCTGTAATCCAGCATTTGCAGAAGTCACAAAACTTTTTTGGTTGTGATTTCCAATATGTGGCCCTGAAAGATGAAAACTCAATTTAAAAAATAAATCATGCTTAAAGAGTATTGGCAAATCATTTTATTTACCAGCAATTGTTTAAGACCAGAAGTGAGACCTAAATTAAGTTGTTTCAATTATGTATGTAGCGGAACTGGACTGGGTCGATCTTTTGTGACCAGATAGCTCAATTGGTAGAGCATCTGTCTAGAGTTTGGAGGGTCCTGGGATCGAACCCCAGTCTGGCCGTGCATTTTCCCTCTCCTGTTACATTTTGTTGGGTGCCAAATGTAACAGGAGAGGAAAAATGCACGGCCAGACCAGGGTTCGAAACCCGGACCCTCCGAACTCAAGACGGATGTTCTACCAATTGAGCTATCTGGTCGCCGACGATCAACTCGGTCCAGTTCCGTTACATGCAGTTATTCAATAGCACAATTTAAGACGTCCGATATGCATGAGAATACCTGGATTATAGATTACATTTACATTGTATACGTCGTAGTTACCAATAATGGCATGACAAGATGGGAGAGAGAGAATAGATTACATAAATAAACATATATTTCGTACAGGAGACAGAACATTTTTCTTCTTACAAACAATGGTCAACTCTCTAAACCTACCCATACAAGGAAGATATACATATACATATGGTGTCCTAGAAATAGCTAGGCTGCCAAATTGTTTTACAATTGCATGTACTTAGCAACATCCCTGGTAAGGTTGATATTTAAGGGTCAACATATAGACCTGGAGCTAGCTTATAGGGTTTTCAATCAGCCTATGTTTGGAGGTTTAATAGCAGTTAAGAGGTCAGTCTTGTCTGATGGTTAATGGTTGAGAGGTCAGTCCTGAGGGTAATAATTAATGTCCAAGAAGTCTGTCCTCTCTTTAGGTTAAGGGTTGTGAGATATGTTATCGGTTGAGAGTTCGGTTATGTCTTGTAGGTTAGAGTTGAGAGGTTTAACAGTTAAATGTCCTATCTTGAGACCGGGTTAGTGTTGACAACTCTGTCCTCTCTTGAGGTTAAGTTATGACATGTTTTCAGAAAAGGGTTGAGAGGCATATTGGGGAGGGGTGTCTTACTGTAAAAATACTGGAAGGTTATTCTATCGTACTATATTGGGTATTTTTCAATATGAGGCATCGGAGATGGGTATCTTATTGTGAATACAGTACTGTATGCTAAATGAAGATGGGCCGGTGGTAATGTAATGATGTGCTTTTGGTAGGAACCGGGCCGTTTATTTAATTTTGTGTTGAATTGGGATCTACCTCTATATTCATACTTCTAATTAACATGTCTTATTGTAGCGTTGATACGCACATTTTAGCCACACTCTTCTTCTAATTGTTGTCTTGGTACTGCTTCAGCTAGTGTAGCTTAATGAAAGAGAAACAACTCAAACACATGTCGGAAGTTTACAAAGCTGCGCATGCTCAGACAATGACATAATTTCGTGTGTCTCTAATCATGTTCGGCAATTCCGTTTTGTATACAAACGGAAACTCACGATTTTATCCGAAGGCTGCACGACTTACCTTTTATGGACCCTAATGTAATCCCGGCGTTGATTAGTCGATTTGCGACTTCCTTCAGATTATTGTAAAATATCGGCCAATGAAAGGCTCTGTAAGAAAATCGTATGAATGCATTGCGCATGCGGAATGAAGTGCACCTTTGTTGTCCCTGAAAATCTAGGCACCAGCGGAAATTTTGTTTCCACACGAATACGAAGGGGGCAAATTCTACGTTATTTCTGTGTCCTCGACTGGATATTTTATCGCGGTCTTCTAAAAAGATCATTGAATGGTTGTTCTATGAACCAAAATGGTAAGTATCTACGTCTGACATGCAGTAAGCGAGCTTGCAAGCGAATGTTTTGGTTGGTGGCTCTTGGGTCGTGGCACATGAAGTCTGTGTTTATATTTTGACAGGTTGTAATATCACATTTACTGAATTGAGATGTAAGGAACAATTTCTGTGTCGTGTTTATCGGTACTACACGTTGGTTCTTTCACGACATTCTTAAATAAAACTTATATCATATAAACAATAAGTTCAGGCATTTCAAGGCTGGAAGTTGGTCACGCGTCTCCGACATAAACATAACCTATTTTACATGTACAGTACATCGGACTGACCTATATTTGGAATCTACTTAACATTGCCTAGTTATGCGGTATTTCCAAACATTGAAGTCAAGTTTATCAAAATTTCGCAAAGTAATAAGACTATTGAAGCACCTACACATGTTACACACTATAGTTTGTGGTGATATAAACTGCATTCTACTTGGGTAAATTTCCCTTTTAATTACAATATGGTCACATTAGTAGCCTCTTTGATTTACTACATCATTTACTACAGGACCATCTCTAATAATTCAACCTATTCTACATAATTTCATGTGTTCATTTTGTATTTTTCAGGATCAGACTGATACAGGTAAGAATCAAGCAGGTTTTATGGCATGGGAATGAAAACCTTTTTTAATTATATTTGAATAGCATTGCTTAGTGTGAAATAAAAATTGCCATTGCAATTGTTCATTGACCATTTTGTGGGTTGGTTGTTTTATTGCAAACATTGAACATTTTCCTTAATCTTGAACAAATCTGAAATGTTTTCCAAACCTTCAAAGTGGCCTTTTTTCACCTCTGAAACCTCCAATAACTATGTCAATAGTATCGGTCAATATATAAGTTAAATTAAAAAAAAATGTTTGATTAACATGCAAGTAGTTGATGACAATGAGGTATTTGTGTAATGAAACCTGTTGTAAATTTGTCAGACTGGGGAGGATGGAGTGTACCTGGACAAGCAGATGGTGAGACGTTTCCCAAACAGGAGGACTCTAATCACAGCCTGGCAGATGCTCGCTCAGACTCTGTGTACGACAGCAGCAACATGGGGGTAAATATAACAACAGTATATGTATTATACACTTGTGTAATATGACAAATTGAACACATTGGTATCATTTGGTATATGATGATGACGACAACAAACATGGGGATAAATATGGGATTGTCAGCTTTCTCTATGACAACAATGTGGGGTAAGTAGATGGTTGTATCTATGACAACAGTAATAAGTGGTGAGATGGCTTGGTCAATTTATGGAAGCATTACTATGGAGGCTTACATCAACATTAGGGTAAGTGATAGGGTCAAACGTTAACAGAGTAGCATATCACCATTATTGATGTAACATCAGTTACACTGTTTGTGCTGATCTCATAGAGAAATGTCTATCAATAGAGATATCACAGCACAATATTTTCAAAGCATTTTCCTATAGAAACATTCTCTGTTAAATTATGAAAATATTTTACACTGTAGACCTGTTTTGTAGGGAGAAGATGACTACATGAGCAATCTCGGACTGTATGATGGCTACGACAGTTACAATGAAATGTCGGGCAGCTCATCATCTGATGATGGTGAAAATGAAAAACCTGGCTATGACAATTACAATTTCCAGTCCACAGGACAGCCTACACCCTTTAGATTCATCAATGGCAAGGATGGAATGGGTATGTAATCTAGCCAATGTTTGTATAACATAATGTAACAGTAAGTTGCTAAGAAAAGACATTTTTAGCTCACCTAGTCCGAAGGACCATGGTAAGCTTATGCTATAATGCAGCGTCCATCGTCAGTCCGTCATCTTTTCCTTTAAAACACTACTAGTCCTGAACGGCTAAGTAGATTTTGACTAAATTTGGTCTGGAGCATCCTTATAGACCAGGGGGACTCAATTTTGTATAAACGGTGGGTGAGGCCCCCTTGGGGTAGGGGGAAATGGGGGTAAAACCTTTAAAATATTTTTTCTTCCAAAGGGATTTTATCCTAATTTAGTCTGGAGCATCCTTGGGCCAAGGGGACTCAATTTTGTATAAACAGTGGATGTGGTTCCCCTGGGGGCAGAGACACTGGGCCGAATAGGGGGAATGGTGGTAAAACCTTTAAAATATTTCTTCTGTCGCATGGATTAAGGGATTTTATTCTAATTTAGTCTCAATAATCCTTGGACCAAGGGGGCTCAATTTTGTATAAATGGTGAGTGTGGCCCCCTGGGGGCAGAGGAGGGGGCCCAATAGGGCAAACATAGCAAATTCTTCGAATTCCTTCTTCTTCTGTAGGAATGACAGGATTTAGATTAAATTTGGTTTGAAGCACCCTTGGGTGAAGGGGAACCAATTTTATATAAATAGTAGGTCTGACCCCCTTTGGGAAGAGAGACGTGACCCAATAAGGGATATAGAGGAAAAGCTTTGTTATCCTTCTTCTTATGTTGGGATGAAGGTATTTTGATCAAATTTAAGGAGTAGTATCCTATTTGGAAGGGAAATCAATTTTGTGTACATGGTGGTTTTGAACCCCCTGGGGCCTGAGGGGTGGGGCCCAATGGGGAAACATAGCAAATTTTTCAAAATCCTTCTTCTGTAGGAATGACAGGGTTTTGATTAAATTTGGGATGAAGCACCCTTGGGTGAAGGAGACCTAATTCTGTATAGTTGGTCTGACCCCACTTTGGAGCAAAGGGGCGAGGCCCAATAGAGGAAACATAGCAAATTCTTTGAAATCCTCCTTTAGCTTTAGGAATGGCAGGATTTTGTCAATTGCATATAAATATAACCCCTGACTAACCATGTAATTAATACATGTACACTTCCAGTAACATCTGGCTATTCTTACTTCAATTTTGCTAACATTTCCAGGTGAGATATACAGGCCCTCTGGGCCTTTTGTTTAAACTTTCTTTACTGAATACGAGTAGAAATCTGTAGCATAATATTTTTTATGCTTAACTGGAAAGTAATATCTTTGATGACATTCACACAAAGTGTGCCTTTCACTTTAAGAACTGACTTATGTCTTTAATCTATAGCGACATGTGAGAGATGTGGAGCTGTTGGGATCAAACATGCATTCTACTCCAAGTCCAAGCGCTTCTGTAGTCTCTCCTGTTCAAGGAGCTTCGCTACCGCTCAGAGAGAAGGCAAACCTAGCGCTAAGGAATCTACAGCACCGCAGGTAACTCAATCTCATTGTACAGATAACTAGTCATTCCTGGATCACAATTATCTTCTTAACAACTTGTTTATTAAAAAGCTTAAGGTTATCAATCCTAGTTATTTTTCTGTTGGCAGATATATGATATCACTGGTAACTTTTTATTTATCTTTACTACAGAAAAAAATTGCTGGCAAGAAGCTGAATTCTCCAGGCAAACAAGCTACACAGCCTATCAAACAAATGTCCTGGCCAAAAACCGTCACCAGTCGTCCAGGTAAGCCAAAAACCGTCACCAGTCATCAAGGTAATTCATGGATTTAGGTTGTCAAAGTTGGTTTAAACTTCCTGTTGGTTTACTTGATTTAATATGTCAAATTTTGGTCACTTTATGAACACTGTTTTGCAATTTAAGACTAGCACTTGACGTCAGGAGACAAAATTAAATATTACCAATTATAGCATGCTACCAGTATTCCTAGAATATTGGTACACCTCTAATTTTTGAAAATCATATAAACTAATGGACTTTATGCAGCTACTCTTCTGTTTCAACAGTAGTTAAGACTAATTTAGATTTCCACCTTTTTGGCCTCTAGCATCACGAGTGAGTCCTTGAAGGATGACACAGCTAATGGTGCAGTGTCATTTATTTTTGGCATACTGTATCTATGACACCAAATTTTAAAGATGATGTAAATTGACAACGTCATATGTTTAGCCTTTCAGGACGTTCAGTACTTTGATTTATTATTATGTTGTTGTTTTTTGCATTGCAGGTGGAGTGAAAGGGTTTGATTGGGGTCCATACTTGTCTTCCACATCATCTGATGCAGCTTCCGTCAGCTGTTTTAAACATGTAAGACAGAATTGATAAACCACAAACACAAGTTTGATTAGCTTTTAATTGTTACTATGTATGCATTGACAGTCATCCAAACATTGTCAATGTTGTAACTAATGTCAAAGAGGATTGTTTGGTGTATTTCTATTTGGACTGTAGTATAACTATATTGTTCAACTAGTGAGGGCATCTTAATGTTGTATTGTCAGTATTGTATCTATTTTGGTGAACATGCAAGTCTGAATCCCTGACTTGTTCTGATCTGACATCAAAGATGGTTTAGTGAGAAGTGTGAACTATCTACTGTAACCCCTGTTAACTTATTTTCCTGTACAGTGCCCAATGTCTGACAACTGGCTCAACATCACTGTTGGGATGAAGGTGGAAATTCAAAACCATGAGTGTGACCTTCCAGAACACGCCTACTGGATAGCAACTGTAATAAAGATAGCAGGTAAACAGACCACAGCAACTTACTTCCTGTGTCTTGGAGATATGCCTGAAATAGATAATTTGGGGCATTTTTTTGTGTCCCAATAATAACATTTATTTTTTCCTTGTACCAACTATTTAAAAATAAACAATGATTTTTGATCCAACCAGGCCCAACTGCATAGTATCAATTATAAATGCCTCTCCCCTATATGTTTGTACCTGAAATAAGTCTTAAGAAAAAATTCTGACTTAGCAGGTGTATATTTTGTTAATAAATTATAGCATCTTCATCACTCTTATGTTTTTAATCACTGTTCCATTTGTCTCCATGATGATTTTATTCTACCATTATCAGTCAGTCATTGTTTTCCCTGCCTGTTTTATTAGTCCTCTCATGATAATTTTGTGCTAACAGTTTAAATAATTTAGACTGTTTGCTCACTGCTCATTGGTCCCTGTTTGATTTTGAGTATTGGCCATTCAATGTTTTCTCTGCTGACTGAAAATCTATCCTTTTGTAGGTTACAAATCTCTGATGAGGTTTGAGGGATTCGGCAATGACACTAGCTATGACTTCTGGATGAATCTGTGCACACAAGATGTTCACCCTGTTGGCTGGTGTGCTACCATAGGCAAGCCTCTAGTACCACCGAAATGTAAGTACCATATTACCACACTATGTAAGTACCATAGTACCACACTATGTAAGTACCATAGTACCACACTATGTAAGTACCATAGTACCACACTATGTAAGTACCATAGTACCACACTATGTAAGTACCATAGTACCACACTATGTAAGTACCATAGTACCACACTATGTAAGTACCATAGTACCACACTATGTAAGTACCATAGTACCACACTATGTAAGTACCATAGTACCACACTATGTAAGTACCATAGTACCACACTATGTAAGTACCATAGTACCACACTATGTAAGTACCATAGTACCACACTATGTAAGTACCATAGTACCACACTATGTAAGTACCATAGTACCACACTATGTAAGTACCATAGTACCACACTATGTAAGTACCATAGTACCACACTATGTAAGTACCATAGTACCACACTATGTAAGTACCATAGTACCACACTATGTAAGTACCATAGTACCACACTATGTAAGTACCATAGTACCACACTATGTAAGTACCATAGTACCACACTATGTAAGTACCATAGTACCACACTATGTAAGTACCATAGTACCACACTATGTAAGTACCATAGTACCACACTATGTAAGTACCATAGTACCACACTATGTAAGTACCATAGTACCACACTATGTAAGTACCATAGTACCACACTATGTAAGTACCATAGTACCACACTATGTAAGTACCATAGTACCACACTATGTAAGTACCATAGTACCACACTATGTAAGTACCATAGTACCACACTATGTAAGTACCATAGTACCACACTATGTAAGTACCATAGTACCACACTATGTAAGTACCATAGTACCACACTATGTAAGTACCATAGTACCACACTATGTAAGTACCATAGTACCACACTATGTAAGTACCATAGTACCACACTATGTAAGTACCATAGTACCACACTATGTAAGTACCATAGTACCACACTATGTAAGTACCATAGTACCACACTATGTAAGTACCATAGTACCACACTATGTAAGTACCATAGTACCACACTATGTAAGTACCATAGTACCACACTATGTAAGTACCATAGTACCACACTATGTAAGTACCATAGTACCACACTATGTAAGTACCATAGTACCACACTATGTAAGTACCATAGTACCACACTATGTAAGTACCATAGTACCACACTATGTAAGTACCATAGTACCACACTATGTAAGTACCATAGTACCACACTATGTAAGTACCATAGTACCACACTATGTAAGTACCATAGTACCGCACCATGTAAGTACCATAGTACAACACTATGTTAGTATCATCGACATATGTATGGTACTACATGTACCTATTTACTATAGGCAAGCCCCTAGTACCAACCAGTAAATACCAGCAAAGTGAAACCATCAAGACGTTTGAATTATATTGTTTGTGCCATTTTATCATTTGCAGTGCCATTTTAGATGTTTGGAGAAAAGTGTTGTGTTTTTCACTGTGGGAAATTCTGTGGAGTCTGGTACTGAATTAAAAAAAAAACATCTCCAAAAATTTGCGTAGTTAAACATGATTAAAGAAGTAGAAAGTAGCTTATTTATTGTATTGTAACTTGTAAAATACAACTACAATTGAGATTATAATGTTTGATAAAAGTGTTGAAAATTTAACAATAACTAACTTCAATAGCCTAATATGTACTTGTACTGATTGGTAAGAATGTTGATGTACATGTGATTGAGGGAGTGTTTGTATGCCACATCTACTTACAGCAATACAGCATAAGTATCTAGACTGGAAGGAATATCTGGTGAAGAGACTGACTGGCTCACGCACCCTACCCAGTAATTTCTACAATAAGGTAGGCTAACTTTTTGTATGACTTCCTAAATAGGAGTAATATCATGATAATGAAATCAGAAATATGCTTTTAGCAAATCTTATGACCTATCATGTTGTCTTATATATCGTGAGTAAAATGAATAGTACTGTTACAACGATTATATACAACAATCACATATTGCTTACATATTGTTTGTAGGTAGTGGAGAGCATTAGTAATCACCGATTCAAAAAAGGGGTTAATGTTGAGGTTGTGGATAAGATGTGTGTGTCGGCCATGAGGGTTGCTACAGTTGATGAAGTAATTGGAGGCCGTCTAAGACTACAATATGTGGACTCCAAGGTTAGTATTATACCAAAGTGTATTCCATTTAAACAAGAAGAAACATTTAAGACGTACACCATCGTCAGTTGGTGTAGGTATTGAATTACTTCTGTTGTTAGTCAATTTCACAAAATGTATCTTATGTCGCTTCTGGTTGTCACAAATTACAGCAAATAAATCGCTTCTGTCAGAGGTCCATGTTTGAAAAACCTAGAGTCCACTGTAGGGTAGATAATTCTTGATTGTAAGATACAAGTTTAAATATATTCAGTTCTTTCCTTTTTTCCCTTTCAATTTTGTATAGGATCAACATCAAAATGAAATATATGCTGAAATCTACCAAAACATCTCTTTAACATAAAACTGACAAGTGATATAAGTTTTTGTTCTGTAGGAGGAGAACGATGACTTTTGGTGTCATATGAGATCTCCCCTGGTGCATCCCATCACTTGGTCGCAAAGGTCTGGCCACAAACTCCATGCCATCCAGGGTAAGTGTCTGAACCTCTTGGATCCATTCCAAATGTCAATGCTGGTGAAACATATTTAAAAAAGTACTGAAATAAAATTCAAAGTCATGTTAACTGTTTGCATTATACATATGAAATGATAATATTAGCTGTACAAATTGCAGTATATAGTTGCTATTCAATATATTGTCTTCCACTGATAAATGAAAAGAAAACTTGACCAATGAGATAGGAGTATTTAATATGAACAGAAAGACAACATTATTTGTAAAGTTTTGGTATTGTTATAACACTCACTGTCTAACAGTTCTATGTACGTCTACAAACACTAGATATAACTCTGTTCACAAGTCGTACTTGCCTGCCTAATGAGATAAAAAAATATAAATATATAACTATGATGTGGTATGTCTGTTGTTTTACAGAGTATAAAAACGAGTGTCTCAACAAGATAATCACAGAGAACTACCATCCTACTGATGCTGTTCCAGACATGTTCCACAAGGTCAGGCTTCTTGAGATAATTGTCTGTTAAGCATGTATTAAAGCTTGTTCAAAGATGGTTTTAAACCAGCTGTCCCATTAGTGTGAGAGCTGGAAAATCTTACACTATTTGAAGATTATGATGTGTCCCTTTGTGTCAGTAGAATGGACTGTTGCTAAACCTTTACAAGATGGCTGATTGAATAAAAGAAAAAATCATTTTGGACAAACCCTTGATGAAAGGAATTGTTAATCTGCACCTATATTCTTGCGAAATGTATTTGTTGTATTCAGTGAGGAAAAAATAGCTATAGGCATTTATTGTTGAAAATCTCAAACTATAAACATATTAACAATTATTTTGATTTGACTGATGGCATTTGCAGATGATATGAAAAGGGTCATTCAAAAGTTAATACCTGTACCTATAAGCCTATAAAGGGCGTTTCGCTAATAACACATCCAAATTCAACATACACTATGGTTTTCTTCTATGGAAACAGAGATGACTTCCTTGCCAAAGATTATGTGAGGTTGTTGTAACAATGTTTTTTCTGTTGCCAGGTGAAGGAGCCCATGGGTGACCTGAAGTTCCAGGTTGGAATGAAATTAGAGGCCATTGATCCACTTAACCTGTCTGCTATCTGTGTAGCTACTGTCATGAAGGTGGGTTTTTTATAATTTGATTCCTATACCTGTAAGTTTATTGGTCAAATGGTGTCAAAACACATTTTTACAGAACAGTGGTGATATACTGAACCTGTGTACCTTGGTATGTGTATTCATGTGTATTTACCTGTGCTGTAGGTACAATATTTGATGCTGACAGCTGTGTTTGTAATTTACCTGTATTTATGTATTACCTTTCTATAGGCACTTTATTTATCTCGTTAAATTGTGTATTTACCTGTATTTGGGTGTAGTGACTTGTTTTCTGAGTTCTTTGTTGACATGAGTTGGTATTTACATGAATTGATGTATATTTACAAGCACAAACAAATTTAATCTAATAAAATATATAAAGCATATACAGGATATAAAATCCTTTGAAAGTCCACTTTTAATATAAAGATCTTTTAGCTGTGATGTAGAAACTATTTCCTGCTGTGTTTGTATACTAACTTGTATTATTGTATACTTACTTATTCTTTTATGTACTTAATTTAAGGAATACTTTTCTATTTTGATCTGGTTATGAGGTATTAACATCAGTTGAGTTGATATTGCATAAATGGCAAAGATAATTACGTCAGAACCTGCTCAAAATTGAAAAGTATTCCTTAAATATAAGGTGAATATTTAAATGTGTTTGTTTATCTATTTTGAAGGTATTGAAGAACAACTATCTGATGATTGGTATAGATGGCTCCATGGCCCAGAATGGCTCTGACTGGTTCTGTTATCATACATCCTCACCCTGTATCTTCCCTGTCGGCTTCTGTGAGATCAATGGACTGGACCTCACACCTCCACGAGGTAAATGTGACTACTGGTCTTTGTGTGTAGTGACTTGTGGACGATGTTTGACATGTGGACATTTACTAATCAATTGTGTATGACTTGTAAACTGGACCTATATGGGGCTGTATTTGGCTTGGGGAAATGTATGTTTGGTATATGGGTTGTGTGTGGTATGTGGACTGTATGTGTGTAACTTGTATACTATACTGGACTGGACTGTGTGGCTTGTGTACTCTCTGTGGCTTGTGATTGTACATATGAGCTGTGGATGGGATGTGATTTCTGGACTGTGTGAAATGGGTGTGACTTTATATGTATTCTCTGTGGCTTGTGAAATGTATATATATGTATGTTGTCATACTCGATATCCAAGGGTTATGCTCACTTTCGCTCTCTGCACCGCTGGAATATGTCATAGCAAAATCGAAGGCACGAAGATAGCCGTTTGATTGGTGTCGGGTAAAAAAACACCTGACCAATCGCTAGGCTGATACTTGTCCTTTAAAGGTTACGAAGGAAAGACGCCCGACTTCAAAGCTTGTGAATTTTTACTGTTACGTGACAGCGAGATTTTTTTGATGTACATCAAAGGATGAACGAGGTGGGGCTCACCGAGCCTTCAATTTTGCTATGACATATTCCAGGGGTGCAGAGAGTGAAAGTGAGCGTAACCCCTGGATATTGAGGATGGTGTGTTGTTGACTGGATGTGATTTTTAGATTGGGAGTGGACTAGGTGTGATTTATGGACTCTGACTTGTGGACTGAGAGTGACTTATGGTCTCTGACTTTTGGACTGGATGTGAATTGTGGACAGGGTGTGATTTTCACATCATGATCACTGTTTATTGACTGCTGTTTTTTGTTGTAGGCTACAAAGGCCAGTTTAAGTGGTTCGAGTATTTGAAGCAGTCCAAGTCAACTGCTGCTCCTGTCAAATTGTTTGATAAGGTAGGAAAGCTACAATTCCATAATGATTTTGGAGGGGATAAGGATCGAAGCCATCTTGCATTGCATATTGGTATTTTAAGTTATTTTTTTATCACCATATATCCTAAGAAGTACTTTTACGTAGTTAATAGGAAAACTCAATAAAAAGTCTCCCTTCATCTGTTTTTATGCCATGGTGCAGCGTCCATCTGTCCAGCGTCAACTTTTTACTTTAAACAACTTCTTCTAAATAACCAAGAGGCCCAGGCTGATGATTTTTGGGCAGTAGCATGCTGGGATGAAGGGCTACCAAGTTTATTCAAATGAATGACCTTGACCCACTTTCAAGGTCACAGGAGTTGAATATGTTAAAATCTTCAAACGACTTCTTCTGAAAAACTAAGACACCTAGGGTGATGATATTTGGCCAGTAACAGTAGTATGAAGGGCTACCAAGTTTGTTCAAACAAAAGATCTTCACCAATTTTCAAGGTCACAGGGGTCAAATATGTTTAAAACCTTTAAAAAAAACTTCTCAATAACCAAACAGCTTTGGATGATGATATTTGGCCATGAGCATGCTGGGATGAAGGGCTACCAAGTTTGTTCAAATAAATGACCTTGACCCACTTTCAAGTCACAGGGGTCAAATATGTTAAAAACCTTTAAACAACTTCATCTCAATAACCAAATGGCCTTGGATATTGATATTTGGCCAGTAACATGCTGGGATGAGGGGCTACCAAGTTTGTTTAAATAAATGACCTTGACCCACTTGCAAGGTCACAGGGGTCAGATGTCTTAAAATCTTTAAACAACGACTTTTCAATAACCAAAAGGCCCAGGGTACTGATATTGGGCCTGTAGCATGCTGGGATGAAGGACTACCAAGCTTGTTCAAATGAATGACCTTGACTTATTCAAGGTCACAGGGGTCAAATATGTTTAAAAACCTTTAAACGACTTCTTCTTGATAAGCAAAAGGCCAAGGGTAAGGATATTTTTCCAGAAGCATGCTGGGTTGGAAGACTATAAACTCTGATCAACCTAATGTCCTTGTTCGACATTTAAGGTCACAGGCGTCATATGTTTAAGTCGTAGGTTCTTATGAATCAAACACTGATATTCTGCTTGTTGCTGTATTTTAGTCCACTTTTAAGATTACAAGTGTGAGATTAATACCAGGTGAGCGATGCAGGCCCATTGGGCCTCTTGTTACACCTTACTATTCTTAGACTAGTAACTAGGTTAAGTTACAACCTCACATTGAAAGCTCTTGTCAAACACAGAAGTATGAAGTTTTGATCAAATGTTACCAAAAGATGTATTTACTATTGTCAGACATGGCTATCAAGCAAATATACTTTTATAGGAGAATGTAAGAGAAAACATAAAACTTGCATTGAACTAATGACGATCTTATGACAGTAGGCACCAAGATCTCTCTCAGATCTTTTGATTCTTTTATTACAGATTTTGTTCAAACTTTTAACAAAAGTCAAAAGTCAAGTATAGGAATAACCTTAAGTTTGTTTTTTATGTTTCTATGGTCAAAATCAAGAGTTGTTATAGAAACTTATCACTTAATTCAGTGACATCTCTCATGCACTTCAATTCTTTACAAATATTTCAGGGTTCCATTGTCAAGACCGTTATTATATTTTGGATTTTTTTCTATCGAAAAATTACCGGGGACTCTAAATTTATGTGGGAGCGAGGGCATTCATGTCTTGCAGACATTGTCTTCTTTTCTCGCCAATTTAAGTAGTGCAGTTTATCCACACATTTCAGTCTTTGAGAACATTTTTACCTTGTCAGCAAGAATTAACAGAACTACTTGGTTATCAGAATAATTTACTAGGATCTAACACTGCATTTTTATTTCAGGAAATACCAAAGCATGGTTTTAAACCTAGTCATAAAGTAGAGGCAGTTGATCTGATGGAGCCCAGGTATGCACATGTAACCTAACCCTTCACCTCTATATCCAATCTTCTCTGACATCTGATTTCATTTTCTGGCAATTCTTAGATTCAAATATGGCTGTCATACAGTCACAATCTTTCTAGTACAGCGGTATACAGCCCCCAAACTACAAAAACTGAATTTGATGTGCACTGTACCACAAATCCTTCTTTCATGTTAGGAATATTCTTTGATTACAATTTACATAAATGTCTTTCATGACCTGTTAGTACAGCAAATCAATAAGAACTGTTATTCTAGACAGCAGACAGATAAGGGGTTTTTATGTGACCTGCTTTACCTGACAGCAGGAAGACAGGGATTGTCATGTGACCTGTCATGTGACCTGCCAGTACCATACAGAGAGATAAAATTAACATTTGCTCGATAAGTATCAGACGATAGAGAAATGGAAATGTCATTGACTATTGCGGTTTATGACAGAAGTCAAAGTAATAAATGTTTATTTTACAATTGTAGACTTATCTGTGTGGCAACTGTCAGTAAGGTGGTGGGCCGACTGCTACGTATCCACTTTGATGGCTGGGAGAATGAGTATGATCAATGGGTAGACAGTGAATCTCCTGACCTGTACCCTGCAGGCTGGTGTGAGGTCATGAACTATGGCCTGGAAGGACCAAGAGTGAAAGGTTGGTAATATAGTAAAACAGAAAGGGTGATACATAATAAGGATGTCACAAAGTGATGATTTGTATAATTAATATGTTATAATAAATTTGTTTCATAGTGATTTGATAAAGTATCAGTGATGGAAGTTGGGGGGGGGGTTTGGAGGAGGATTTCATGACCTGCATTAATTTTGTCCTAAATATATTTTATATGTTTTTATTTTGCTGTGTGTACTGTAGTTGAACCTCCCGCACCAATACCTCCAGCACCAAAGTCAAACAAAACCCCAGACAGTCACTCCAAAAAGCGCAAAGGCAAGACGCAAATCTACAAGGGACCGCGCAAAAGTAAGTCCACAAGTTAGTGTCATTTTACTCACTCTTTTCATATTCTGCTTGAAATGTATGAATTGTATGCTTTGATACTGCATAATATAACAGTGCAAACACAGTACTGTACTCAGTAACACTATATTACACATAGCAACACCATATCTAACAGGGTAACACCATAAACACACCAACACCATACCACACACAGTAACAACTTAAACACATACAATTTTACCATGCCATGCACACTAACATCACATCACGAACACTTCGTGCACCATAAACACATGAACTCCACATCACACACACTAACACCCTAAGCACACATTAACACTATACCATATCATACACACTGACACCATACCACACAGCGCTAACACCATACCACACATCACAAACACCATACCACACATCGCTAATACCACACTACACACCACAAACACCAAACCACACATCACAAACACCATACCACACACCACTAACTCCACAACACACACACTAACACCCTAAGCACGCATTAACACTATACCATATCATATACACTGACACCATACCACACACCATACCATACACCATTAACACCATACAACACATCACTAACACCATAGCACACACCATAACATACACCATTAACACCATACCACACACCATTAACATACCACACATCACTAACCCCATATCACATAACATACACCACTAACACCATACAACACACCACAAACACCATACCACACTCCACTAACTCCACATCACACACACTAACACTCTAAGCACACATTAACACTGTACCATATCATACACACTGACACCATGCCACACAGCGCTAACACCATACCACACATCACTAACACCATACCACACACCATAACATACACCATTAACACCATACCACACATCACTAACACCATATCACATAACATACACCACTAACACCATACCACACACCTAACACAATACCACACATCGCTAATACCACACCACACACCACTAACACCATACCACACATCACTAACACCACACCTCACACCATTAACACCATACTACACAACACTAACACCATACCACACATCACTAACACCATACCTGCATCACTAACACCATACCACACACCGAACACAATACCACACACTTAACACAATACCACACAGTGCTAACACCATACCACACATCACTTACACCATACCACACACCTAACACAATACCACACACCTAACACAATACCACACAGTGCTAACACCATACCAAACATCACTAACACCATACCACACACCACTAACACCATACCACACAGTGCTAACACCATACCACACATCACTAACACCATACGACACAGCGCTAACACCATACCACACATCACTAACACCATATCACATAACATACACCACTAACACCATACCACACACCTAACACAATACCACACGTCGCTAATACCACACCACACACCACTAACACCATACCACACATCACTAACACCATACCTCACACCATTAACACCATACTACACAACACTAACACCATACCACACATCACTAACACCATACCCGCAGCAGTAACACCATACCACACACCTAACACAATACGACACAGTGCTAACACCATACCAAACATCACTAACACCATACCAAACATCACTAACACCATACCACACATCACTAACACCATACCACACACCACTAACACCATACCACACACCACTAACACCATACCACACACCACTAACACCATACCACACACCACTAACACCATACCACACATCACTAACACCATACCACACACCATTAACACCATACCACACATCACTAACACCATACCACACACCTAACACAATACCACACAGTGCTAACACCATACCACACATCACAAACACCATACCACACACCACTAACACCATACCACACATCACTAACACCATACCACACATCACAAACACCATACCACACACCATTAACACAATACCACACATCACTAACACCATACCACACATCACTTACACCATACCACACACCTAACACAATACCACACAGAGCTAACACCATACCACACATCACAAACACCATACCACACACCATTAACACCATACCACACATCACTAACCCCATACCACACACCTAACACAATACCACACAGCGCTAACACCATACCACACATCACAAACCCCATACCACACACCACTAACACCATACCACACACCACTAACCCCATACCACACACCATTAACACCATACCACACATCACTAACCCCATACCACACACCTAACACAATACCACACAGAGCTAACACCATACCACACATCACAAACACCATACCAAACACCACTAACACCATACCACACATCACTAATACCATACCACACATCACTAACACCATAACACACACCACTAACACCATACCACACATCACAAACACCATACCACACCCACACATCACTAACACCATAACACACACCACTAACCCCATACCACACATCACTAACACCATACCACACATCACAAACACCATACCCCACACCACTAACACCATACCACACATCACTAACCCCATACCACACACCTAACACAATACCACACAGCGCTAACACCATACCACACATCACAAACCCCATACCACACACCCCTAACCCCATACCACACACCACTAACACCATCCCACACCCCTAACACAATACCACACAGTGCTAACACCATACCACACATCACAAACCCCATACCACACACCACTAACACCATACCACACACACCACTAACACCATACCACACATCACTAACACCATACCACACATCACTTACACCATACCACACACCTAACACAATACCACACGTCGCTAACACCATACCTCACACCATTAACACCATACCACACACCATTAACAGCATACCTGACACCATATCACACACCACTAGCACCATATATAGAATTCCACACAAAATAACACCATACCATACACAGTAACACTATACCATACAGTAACACCCTGACATATTTATTAATTCTATACAACACTCTAATCACTGTTTTGTTTACCTGAATATAATTGTAGTTTAAAAGTGGATAAACCCTGCGTAAGTAATTATATATTTTCATCAAGATTGGATAAGATGTTTTATCATCGCTTCATTTGGTCATTAGCCAAGTAGCTTCTCTTTACTTAGAGATATGAACTGAAATACTTGTATTATAGAGAGGAAGCCTAAACTGATCCCAGGCAGTACCATGCTGGACCTTCACAGAGATCTACAGAACAACGACAGAGCCCAGGGGTTCTTGTCCTTCGGCAGCCGTACCCGGTCTGCACACTCCGATGCTAGTACACTGCCACCCTTAGATGAGGGGCGTACAGGCCCTGTCAAAGGTTAGTATAAACAATTTGTGTCAAAGGTTAGTATAGACAATTGGTGTCAAAGGTTAGTATAAAATAGCTGTGTCAAAGGTTAATATAAACAGATTGTGTGAAAGGTCAAAACCTGGTATAAAATTATCATATCAAAGGCCTGTTTAAACAGACCATGTCAAATGTCATATTCAGTAAATTTGTATAATTGGTTGTATCATAGGGCAATTTGAGAGTCATGTACAATATGACATCAGTTGTGAACTCAAAGGTAAAGAAGATTTACTTCTTCAATTTTACTGATATGTGAGCTATTACATGTATGAAAAATAGTTTGTATAGAGTTTAATTGGTTTACAGTAAAGCAGGAGGTAGACGACAGCGGGGCTGTGGATGGTCCACCCACATTAAGCCCTCATGCCCCTGGGGGAGCTGCCATTGAGACCATCAAGTCGGAGCCTATGGACTATACGCCTGCCCCTACCACTGGTCTGGCCTTCACCAAGACTGCTCTGTCTAATCTCCTTTTGTCTAAGTCACCACTCAGGGGCTCGTCCTCAGACCTGGCCATGGTCATTAACTCTGCCCAATACAACCAAGTCACCTACTCTGACCCTGGTAAGGCTGGGTCATCAGCAACAGTGTCATTAAACAGACAGAAAACAGTGTCCCCCTCCGCATGGACTGTTGGGGATGTAAACCACTTTCTGAGGGATCAGGATTGTGCTGCACAGTGTGACAGCTTCACCAAGTTGGTAAGAAACACTGACTTGAAGACTAGGTCATATGTATGCTTTAAGACTTGAGGAAAAGGCTTATAGACTAGATAAAAGGTGTGTTTTTAGAACCAGGTTACAAGGGTTCATAAATTATGTTGTGTATATAGTTAAACTTTAAGGAACAAGGGCTTTTACAATAGGGAACATGTATTCTTACATATTAGAGAACACAGGCTTATAGACAAGGGAACATGTATGCTTACAGACTAGAGAATACTTGCCTTATAGACAAGGGAACATGCATGTATGCTTACAGACTGCAGAACACAGGCTTATAGACTAGATAATGGGTGTACTTTACAAAAGGTAAGGTTTATAGACCAGGGAAGGTGTTGGACAAGGAGTAGGTAACGGAGTTGGAAATATCTGACTTACTGTCAGATTTAGACCAGGTAAGAAAGGGCTTACTATTGAACACAGTATTTAGTATTTTGGCTGACAGACTGAAGTCCAAACTTTTATACTAATGAGCATATTAAGGACTAGTTAACAAAGGCTTACATGTATACTAAGGTATATTTTAAGGGCTCAAAACGTTTTGCCTTATCATGGAATAAATTTAGGACTCGGACAAATTCAAGCGATTTATAATACCAAAAGTATTGAGGATTCACAGACTTAGGTAACACAGGTTCTTTTATAAAGTGCTGAGGCTAGATTACATGTTCACATGGACTAAGATGTTGCATGAAACTCCATTGCTCATATATTTACCTGCTCTATCAGAACATGAACGTTTGGTGCAGGTTAACTTCATTTTTCATACCATCGATAGTAAGCGAAACTTTTTTTTGAAACTAGCAAACTTTTTTTACCAGTTTTATAACTCTTTCATCTTTATTTCAGAACATTGATGGAAAGAAACTTCTGGAGTTGACACGAGAACAGATTGTTAGTTTGACTGGAATGAAAGTTGGTGCTTCACTCAAAATCTACGACCTTATTCAAAACTTAAAACATTCACCAGGAATCACTTCATCATAGCAAAATTAATTTGTGGCAAGCCTGTCAAGGTCCATTGTCTTGTTACAACTGTCGGAGAAAAATTAACACTTCCACGAGACATGTGCATGTCTTGAAAAAAAAACATACAACAAACCCACGCAAGTATGGACAGATATAACAAAGTTGTAAAAGTACAGCCAGCTACAGCAAACATGTACCAGTATGGACCCATACATTAAACCTGTACAAGTCTGAAAACCTACAACAAATCTAAATTGGACACCTACATAAACCTGTGCAAATATGGATACTTGTGTCTATCACTCTTGCAGGTCCGCTGCTCGGTTGTGTACCTGTTATTGCCTTTTGTCCATAATCAGTATCCTCATTTTCGTGATTTAGTTAGAGTTGTATACCCTTTGGTATAAACTAGACCCGAGTGCAATTTCTTCTTTCTTCAGTAGACAATGCAAGAATATGAATGTCCAGATAAGCTTCATAGGTTACAGGACAGGTGTGAAGGATCCTAGCGCAGTGTATAATTTAGCATATATATTTCAGAAATTAAGGATTTTGAATGTGTTGGTAGTTTTGTAAATTTGTCTCGGTTGCATATGTGTTATTGATACAATACCTTGTCCTGAAAAGTTCTTTAGAAATCGGATGAAATATCCCAAAATACAGCTCGATACAATGTTGTTGTCCATCATGGGAAAAGTTGTCATCATTATTGGTTATATAACTATCCGTTGAAATGTGAACATGTACTTACAACTGTAATATTTTTATAAGACATGTTTCTACAAAAATTTACTTCTGTGCAGTGTTCATTTAGCTTCTTTCAGAATTAGTAAGGTCCTTATTATTACCAAGATCTGCTTGGTAAGAAATATTGCAAAGATCTACTTGGTAAAAAATATTTTTAAGATCTACTTGGTAAAGATTATGTTGTTTTAAACCAGGATCTCGCCAGTGCTTTTTGCTTTTATTATTTGCAAAAATAATAAAGTCACAGTGAATGCATGACTATATGACTGTACAATTTTGTAAATGTTTTAAGAACTAGTCTTAACACTTTTAAGTTATGGACACTTTTAATCAATTGTTGTCAGGTTTATTTAATGTATTTTGATGTTAGGATTGGTCAATAATTTGTTAATACAGAATAGAAAAATGTGGAGACATGATCTACAAGTGTAGAGAATTAAATGTGAAATTGCAATAGTTCAAAGATATGTATTGATGCATAAAATGTTGTACAGTATTGTTGCCTGAAGGCCAGTGCTAACCGTTACTCAAGTTTAACCATTTGTGAACATACATTTAATTACTGTAGTCATCCTACAGGGTAAGACCGGTGAGAAATATGATATTTAAGCAGGTAACACCTCTGTTAATGCATTTATCCACATGTCAACATTGTGAATCTGCTTTATTATATAAATTTCATCATATATTGTAACCTTTGTCGTGTGTCAACCAATGCCACAGCAGAGGTCCCTTCAATGACATTGTTAACTAACACAGGCCACTGTTATAAAGGACATTATAGAATCACTACGGTCATTAGTTCACAAGTCCATAAATCTTGTCCTAGTTCCTTGTTAGATGCCATTTATATTGAATGAAATAATGGAAATATAATATATGGTGTTGTTGTTTTTTTGGTAAAAAACTTCTTATTTCAGTTGATTTGTGGAGGCATTTTATTTAGAACTGAAGTTGGATGGTGATGGCAGGACTTCAATATGTCTGAAAGTGAGTGGACACCCTGTAATAATAATAATATATATGCCTAGTCTTCAAGCCTATAGACCCATGATATTTTGTACGTTACACAGTATTGTTATCCCCCGCTTTTCACCGAAAGCTGCGTTTCGTTTCCGTGCAATAACAAGTGTTAACCAATTTTCTTCAAACTTGGTCACAGGGTTAAATGCCTTAAGGGCTCGGCCAAATTTGACGACCACTCTAATTGGACTCCATTTGGCAGAGTAATGGCCCCTTGATTAACAAAAAACATCATTATTTGCAGTTTCCGCTTTATAACTAGAGCAAATATTAGCCAAATTCCTTCAAACTTGATAACAATGTTTGTGTTCCTCTGTCTTTCCATCCATCTTTGGCACTCTTTGGTTTTTCGTGTGATAAATGCTGTGGATATTGTTCAGATGTTTCAACCCATTCCGTATTCACATCCAACTCCTGCTAGGTTTGCCAACCGATGTGATTTGTGCATATTTACGGTTAATCAATCAGGTATAGTGCTGCTTTTTTTTCTTCAAGTTTCAAGCTATACATTATGTCTCAACAGCACGATACTCGCATGGTTAAACCTAACCTCAATAATGTTAACCTACAATATGTTCTGCAAGCGGGGGATATAAATTCCATGAATTTGCTTGTTTTTAACAATGATGTCAATAATATATGGAGGAAGGGGTGCATTTCTTAAAATCTGTAGTTACAATTCAGTATCCACATCTGGATGAAATGTTGTTTAAATTTATCGTTTAATAATAATCATAATTTGAGGTTCTTATACATGTATACCGCTTTTTCACATCCTAGATCGTCACATAGCGGTTTACAAATTATTATCCATGGTTACTGGGCCTTAGCAACCAGGAAATATCTTTCTCAACTCCCTGGGGAACATACATGCTGGTGCTGCAATTTAGGCGCTCACAGCTAGCAATCTACAATTCCTACACTGCCCAACCACATACTCGTTTACAGCGCTGAGTAGACTGGAACAAGCGGAGTATAATATCTTGTTCAAAGATGCAACACAGTGCCATGAGAGGACTCAAACCTGTGACCCTTCTATAATATTTTATTAAGCCCTACCATTAGACTACTCTGCCTAGATTTGCATTGATGCCTTTTTGGTCAACTTTATCAGGCCTATACATGCGACAGTAAATTTGACCAAAGCTTCTTGGAAACAAAGCTGAAAACTTCAAAGGAATACCAGAACAAGCCAATTACTTTGCCATCATGCACAGATTCTGCAACTGTGACAATGACCTTCAGCTAGACTCAAGTTTGCTGTCAAGAGATAATGAAATTGAGTTCAAACTTGGTAACTTCAGTTTTAACCCTGAAGAAGTTATATTTTAAATTTCCATCATGTTGAAGCTGACCTTGACCTCGAGTGTGACCTTGCCCTTGGGTGTATGACCTTGACTTTAACCTGGTTTCCAGAAATTTATGTCAGGAATACTTGTGTGAAGTTTCACAAATAGGATGACATCAATATAACCTCCATACGAGACGTAATTCCAGTTGTGTTATTGTTTAGATTGCAGCATACTCGGATATTATATAGCAATATTTTCTCATTTAACCATGCATCAAACACGAGCATGGTACTAGCATTGTGTAAACTAGGTATTCAAGATGTTGTGGGAATCATATAATTTGCTTATTTTTTGTTGACAACTTGTATCAGTCACTGGCTACAGTTCACCAGACATTATTCCTTAAAATAGAATCATTCTTTCAAAAAATTAGTCTTGTATCTGAAACAAATGTATGCCAACACAAAAAGTATTGAACTGCCGAGGTATAACACGGCCTAGGTAAGCATTACAAGGGCTTTTGTGTACCTTTATATACAAAAGTAGTCAAGGACAGAGAAACCATTGAATTATTATTGCAATCAATAATCTCTGACAATATTACAGATTATATGTTTTATGCAACAAGATTCCAGAACGATCTGCAATAACATACTTGAAACTGTCAAAGTCTACCATGGCTTCTGGCTATCTTATTTTCCGTATCTGTCTCAAAATGATATCAACATGAAATATGAGAAAGATCTGTCAAGTACTTTTGAGAAATAGTGATAACAAATTTGAACAGTCTAAATCCAACATATATGGCTGCCATCTTCTTTCTTCAATCAGTCTCCAAAGGTAACATGCACAACTATCAAATTTTAGAAACATCTGTCAAGTACTCCTCTAAAGAAAGTGATTACTAAAATTGTTTAAGGATGGGTAATAGGATCACGGCCCGTCTTCTGCGGAAGGTGGGCAAAAAAGTAAAACATCTAGATCTGACATCAAATAAACTAACCACATTGGTAGATCTTAACTTTTTTGTAAAACGTTTTGCAATAAAGGTGCCATGTTGCATGAATGGTATTGTGAGGAAACTACAAATAAATTACACTTATACTTATGTTCCTGCTACTGCCACAAGAAGGGCACACAAAAGTAATTTAAGTTTTGGACTTGACAGGAAGGTCAAGAAGGACTAGACACATTATTTACATGTCAAAGATAGAACCGAGTAACGGGAACAAATACTTTTTTTTTTCAAATTTGTCATCACATGGCCTGTTGAAAATTTGTTAAAACTGGGTACCATATGTCACGTGACCAGGATAGGTTGATGGGTACCACATATCACCTGACCTGGATAGGTTGATGGGTACCACATGTTACATGACCAGGATAGGTTGATGGGTACCACATGTTACATGACCAGGATAGGTTGATGAGTACCACATGTCACTTGACCAGGATAGGTTGATGGGTACCACATGTTACATGACCAGGATAGGTTGATGGGTACCACATGTTACATGACCAGGATAGGTTGATGGGTACCACATGTCACCTGACCAGGATAGGTTGATGTGTACCACATGTCACATGACCAGAATAGGTTGATGTGTACCACAGACCACCTGACCAGGATAGGTTGATGGGTACATGTCATGTGACCAGGATAGGTAGATGAGTACCACATGTCACCTGACCAGGATAGGTTGATGAGTACCACATGTCACTTGACCAGGATAGGTTGATGAGCACATGACCAGGATAGGTTGATGAGTACCACATGTCACATGACCTGGATAGGTTGATGCGTATCACAGGTCGCCTGGCCATGATAAGTTGATGGGTACCACATGTCACATGACCAGGATAGGTTGATGGGTACCACAGGTCCCCATGACAAGGATAGGTTGATGGGTACCACATGTCACATGACCAGGATAGGTTGATGAGTACCACAGGTCGCCTGACCAGGATAGGTTGATGAGTACCACATGTTACCCGACCTGGATAGGTTGATGCGTACCACAGGTCGCCTGGCCATGATAAGTTGATGAGTACCACATGTGACATGACCAGGATAGATTGATGAGTACCACATGTCACGTGACCAGGATAGGTTGATGAGTACCACAGATCACCTTACCTGGATAGGTTGATGAGTACCACATGTCACCTGATCAGGATAAATTGATGAGTACCACATGTCACATGACCAGGATAGGTTGATGAGTACCTCATGTCACGTGACCAGGATAGGTTGATGAGTACCACATGTCACATGACCAGGATAGGTTGATGGGTACCACATGTCACATGACCAGGATAGGTTGATGAGTACCACATGTCACTTGACCTGGATAGGTTCATGTGTACCACAGGTCGCCTGACCAGGATAGGTTGATGGGTACCACATGTCGCATGACCAGGATAGGTTGATGAGTACCACGTCACATGACCAGGGTAGGTTGATGAGTACCACATGTCACATGACCAGGATAGGTTGATGTGTACCACAGGTCGCCTGACCAGGATAGGTTGATGGGTACCACATGTCACGTGACCAGGATAGGTTGATGAGAACCACAGGTCACGCGACCAGGATAGGTTGATGTGTACCACATGTCACATGACCAGAATAGGTTGATGTGTACCACAGACAACCTGACCAGGATAGGTTGATGGGTACATGTCATGTGACCAGGATAGGTAGATGGGTACCACATGTTATCTGACCAGGATAGGTTAATGGACCATATATATATACCACAGGTCACCTGACCAGAATAGGTTGATGGACCAAGTATATATATATACGTACCACAGGTGACTTGACCAGGAGTGTATGTTGATTGATAGCCTACCACAGATCAACAGACCACTGGGACAAGGACAGGTGGTTATGTACCTCTAAGCACACATTCATGAAACATAATTCTCATCCTCAAACATGGATTTCGTGCCCAAACCAACTTTCTTGTTATTTGCTCGACTTTAACAACAGTAAAAATGTTATGTGTGAACAGCATTTGGCTTTATGTCTCTTCATGATCAATGTTCATAGACAGAAAGTCAATTTTCATTCATTTATCAGGTCAAAAATTAAAGAATTTGGCTTTAGCACAGAATTTGAGTACAAGAATGGCATTCATGAATTCAAGCCCAGGAGTGGTAGACAGGTGCTTCTGATCACCTACCCAAGAGAATAGGTTGACTAATGACTTTTTTGTTCATTGATGTATACTATACCAAGTTAAACATCAGATATGTTTTACGTACATACTTCGATGATCTACAACATTTCCATGCCCTTTAATAAAGGGCTGTTGCCTACATCAAAACCGCCACCCACAAAAGATGAAAAGATCAACATCAAAAATTGTGAAAACAGGAAACTATGTACAACGACATGTTTATTTACCAATATTTATGGGATGAATGTCAATGAATGAATGAATAAAAATGTTTTGACAAACGCACATATACACTCGACTTGACCTAGTTTGTGGACATTACAAATAACATGAAAGTTTGTGTGGGGCCGGTATCTGGTGCCCACCACCTCCACTCGCCCGACGTTTTTAAACCGAAAGTCACAATCTTTGCTCATTTTCTGGAGTGTGTTCACACCAAACAACACAATCGGCACAAAGGACGCCGAGCTCGGAGGTAACCTATCTTTGACAACGTGCAAGTTCTCCTCCTCACAACATTCACCACAGCAGCCGGGGACTGCTAAAGTCAACATGAAATGAGTGATGCGAAGTTCCAATGAGAAATGAAAATGATGAATGCTGAGATGAGGTTCCTTATGTATAGTCCATTAGGTATGGTGTTCAGATTTACCGTTGGCCTCCAGTTTGTTGTGCAAATACATCTATCGTATCTCCGTCTTCCATGTCAAGCTGTGGAAGAAAGCAACAGTACAATTAACAGGGAGGAAAACAGCATTCTGTGAAAACTGTCATACTAAATTTTGACTCTAGTGTTATGTTCAATTGCATATACCATATTGCTGTAATAATTTTAAATATGCAAACACTATTTTTAATAGAAACAAGGGTCCATTGGAACTGTATCGCTCACCTGGTTTTATAATTAAGTCATTACAACTGAATGCATTAGTACATCTTTATATGAAATTTCCTCAAATCCAGACAACATCTATCTTCTAACCCAACTTGGACCACAATATCTGACTTTCAACTAATCAGGGGCCTCCATTGAGTTGCCATGTTAACAGATTTTGAAATAAGTAATGTCATATTACAGGGTGTAATTAGACAATAATTTAATTTTCATTCAACTATAAGCTTTTATATACATAGAAACCAATTTTTAACAATTTATAAAAACTACACCATAGAAGTTGATAATCTAGCTGTACCATTTCTTAGGACCGCAGGGGTCAAATCAACCTCATTCAAATAAGAAATGTTTGCAGACAATTAGGGGATATTAGCGTCTTCAAGCAAAATATTAGATAATTTTCCTCTTTGGGGCTCGGTCTTCCTATATAGCTAGCCCCAGGGGTCAATAAGTTAAAATGTGAGGGTACAATTATCTTTTATCCAAAATTGATATAAATCATATATGTGTTGATGATATGGTATTTTATTTCTAATTTTACTCATTGAAAAAATATAAATACAACTTCCAAGATCTTTAGGTGGTTTTTTTAATTAATTGCTGACCATCAACCACCCTGCTGTTAAAACTGTCAAAAGTCTGTCTTTGTCGAGTAATATCCTATCACCATGCTTCTTTGTAACTGTCCGATTCCCAATCATCAAGTTTTCGTTTCCTGGACGCTTCAGACAATTTTTCCTGCCAAAACTACTTGAGTACGACCTGTGCTATTTTGCACCTCTGTGCTCCATCACACGTGGTTATAGTGTGTTTTAAAGGAATTCTGAACTATGAGGATAGTTGTTCGACTCGTTCCACCAGACGCTCGACGTGTGGCGTAGCATGTGCAGTCAACAAGAGTCTGGTTGACCGAGACTCAGCTACAGTCTCCGTGTATTTGTTCGAGATTGCTCTTTCACTTTAAATTTGATGTAGGCTTTAAGGTAAATTCATTGAGCAGCAGGTAAAAAAAAAACACCCAAAAACTACCCATCCCAGGACTTCCAAACTTTTACCAATTCTATCCACTGAAGAGTTTCCTGTTTATCATAATTATATAGGTAGGATCCCTAAACAAAAAACATGGACTGGGTTAGTTTATTATCCATTTTCTTGATCAGAAATATCAGGGGTTCATAGAGTATGAACTATGTAGCATGATAAAACACAGGTAAATCTTGGGTGAATGTTTAGCTGAAAATACAGCCTTATATGAAACAGTATATAATTAACTTGCCATTGTTTCATAAAACAACACCTGCCTATTGTTGGTAAATATGTTGGCACTCGGAGAACACCCCTTCATAGATGTGGATCTATCCCCGCAGTAAAGTGGCTATACGATATTGATAGGTCATTTGTTATGGTTCATTTTGAGTTTCCTATTACTACAGTGCTGTTCACATTTCATTATTAAACCATACTTTGTTGCTATTTGGCAAGCACCAATTTAACATACATTCAAATATTGAATTTAAGACCTAGATTCAAACACTTACTCCAGTGGGGGTGTCTGTCTCATTGATTGGGTTGCCGTCAAATCTAAACCGTAAGGTTGCAAACTTTAGTCCCTGAAAGGAATTAAGATAAATGAACTGTAAACAAAACAATTAAGAAATGTGTATCATAAATAGTTAAACCAACTAAAAAATACCAACCTTCATTTGAAGTTCTGAACAAACTGATGTCACAAAGATGGGGACAATTGTATAACGAAATACTCAGAGATCATAAATTCATTACAGAAAATAGATTTTAAGTATTGCTTTGTATTGACTGGTACAAATCTGAAAGATCCATCATTTTAAATGAAGATTAGTTTTGTTTTGTGATCCACTAAATGCAATTCATTAGCCAAGCCTTAATGCATTATATGCATACCCTGCCCTTTTTGACGACCCCTGGAACTTTTTGTTGGTAATTACAGCAACATTTAATTGTGAACAACAGGACCAGGTCAATGCTTTACGACGTGTCTAGCAGCTAGACTAAACCTCATCTTCCTACACTCAACCCATTTGAACCTAACAAAACATTTCAAAAAAATTCTGAATTATGTTTGAAACATCAGTTTAAAGACTCATTATGTACAGCTTTTGGTCACTTTTATGACTAGTAAAGCTATGTAAAATTATATTAAGATGTTTACAGTTAATATAGTAGGGTTTTACAGGGATCAATCTGGACTTGATTCACTACTGTTTATGGGTAGTTTCCCCTACAGAAGAAAATTACTGTTCTTTGAAATTCTCCTTATATTATGTGCTTCAAAATACCCTTATTTCAACAAGAAAATACCAGTTTGTCTTCAAAATATTTCCCGTATATGTTTTCTTTAAAGTTAAAATGCATAATACTGCATATATACATCTTCTTCACATAATTTAAACAAATTTTAAATTGAAATATACTGCACACATGCATGTCGGACAAAACATTTATCATTTACCTTCATGTCAGACCCTAGAGCCCTGTATCAAAATTATAATTTCTCTCATGTCTAAAAAAGGATAGTTTTCCCTAAAACCTAGATTAATCCCAGAGTTGTATCACCCACCTTTTTAGATTGGTATTGAAAATTAGCCATTTTCTTCTTTTATATCTATCCTTATTTTGCATAGAGTTTACATATTGTGTCACTTCACTGAAAACCACAAAATTTTGTTGGACCCAAAGAAAACAACTTATGCAGTTCTGGTTTTGAATCCAAGGTTGTCGCAGGGAATTTTATTTTTTATGCAATATTAAAAGTTAACTAGTATAGTATGCAGAATTGGTTTTGAAGACCAACTGATCTAGTTTTCAATGTATGCTACCATGTTAGTTTGGACATTTCTTAATTTTAAGCATATCAAACAACGGAAAGTATGTTCTTTTATCATACCCTTCATTCACCAACTGATCATAAATTAATCATCATGACATTTTAAATGCTTAAACACTCATCAGCCTTATTCTGAATACATTTTGCACTTTCTTCAAATCTTGTCTTCCAGTTTTACTTACAACTCTGTCACAGTATGCAGACATCAATTTTCGTAGTGGTGTGTTTTTCTTAATTTTGAAGTGGACCACACTACCATCTTGCCCTGTAACTTTTAAATTGATGTGTTCTGCTCCTTCAGGCTTCACTATCTGCTGCTGACCATCATCTCCTCCCTGTCAACCAAATAAAACAGTGAGCTTTCACCTAGGAGCAGTGTTGAGATAACATTATAGAATTTCATATAAAATATCTTACAGAGTAGGGTTTGTTTATATTTCTGTTGATTAAACTAGATTTGTGATTTACTCAGCTATGATTATGAGGGCAAACTAAACTGACAGTGTTCAGCTATGATTATGATTTTTTCCAGTTTTCAAAGAAATTCCTCCTTCCTTCATCCTCAAATTAATGTATTTTCTTATTGCAACTATCTTCTCTGCACTCCTGATTTGTGTAAGGAAAATATTGCAGGCTTTTAACAAAACACATTGCAAAATGATATATGTAGTCTAGTCTGATGTCGTGAAGGTAAAGGAATTGCACTGTCATTACCATAATCTTACAGTAACATTGACAGGCTTTGAAATTGATTGTAGCTAATCTGTAATCTCAAAAGGACTGCTATTAACCAAAAGATTTGTCATATATATATATATATACCAGACACCAATCAAATGGCTTAGTTAAGTTTACTTCCAGTACAGGATTGGACAATTCTCTTCACCTGACTCGACGCGAGCCCATGGAGAGAAGTTGTATTATAATAATAATGTGAAATGTGTATGAAAAGCAGACTCGTTCAAGGATGTTTTTCCTTTTTATTACACTACTTTTAGTGAATAAATAAGCATTTAAATTGTATGTAGAACATAGAATACTGGAATCTTTAGTCTTCCTTTGTAAATTGCCAAGTGTGCCGACCTCTGGTCAAACATGTGGGCGATCACAACCGGTGGTTAAATGCGATGTTCTGTCACTTCTTATTCCTTGGCGAATATGTTTACCAAAAAAATAACATCACACGGTTTCTGTTAAAAACACGGCAAAACAAAGTACATAATTTTATCTGCAAAGTTAATATATCAATCAAATATCAGTAAAATCTATTGATTAATAATTGAAGAACCGCGGGAAATCATCACATACAAACAATTTCGCCAATATAATATAACTTTCTAAATAATATCAGTCCTACGGTAGGGGACATATATTCAGATTAAATACCAAATGTACCTTATTTTCCGACATCGTGAAATCAACGGCAAATTTTCTATAGATCTAAATCCCCAGAGTCGCGTCGTGTTTTCGGTCTGGTTTGCGAGGAAAATGGCGCACAAAGGAAAGAGGTACCGGGGTCTTATCAAAGCGATGTGTTACGCGCTTTCTGATTGGCCAGAATTAAAAATAGCCTCCAAGCATCGCGAAAAGAAAGTGCGATTTTTTTTCATCTGACAAACTGTAAAACTATCCATAGATGGTGAGAGATTACAGAAAATAACAATCAGTCAACTATTAAAACTTTGGAGCACGATATCACTGTGAACTTGATTTTTTTTCCATTGCATTTTGTTTTCAATTCTTGGCCAATAAGGTTGTACGTTATTAAGCCTTCTGCAAACCGGACGGAACCGGATTGAAAAGTAGGTCACAGGGGTCGATGAGTGCAAGTTTTCTATTGCGCAGTTATATAGAGAATAATATATGCCTTTTCCCATAACACCCAGTATCAACCCGAGACTACAATATCAGCCCAAGGGCTGATATTGGTCGAGGTTTGATACTGGGTGTGATATGGAAAAAAGCGTGTTTTATTCTGTTTATTACATACTTACTAATAAAAACTACTTTCTTCTGATTTTTTTTTTGGAATATTGAAAAACGAAAAAAAATCCAAAAGGGTTGTGATATGGGTTTTGCGGGCTGATACGGGTTTTGGGGTGTGATACGGCGGGGGCTGATACGGGTTTTGGGGTGTGATACGGCGAGGGCTGATATGGGTTAGAGCAATTGTGTCGTATCGCATATACAAAAACCGCGTATTTATTAGTAAGTATGTAATAAATCCTCATATACTGGATTGATATTACATTTTATGAATAGATATCGAATAAAACACATGCAACTTGCATAGCAAGCCAATAATATCAAATGTAAACGTCTGTTCCGTACGAAATAATTTTTTCTATAAAATTATCAAATTGCGGATTTATCGTCTAGATAACGCTAAATAATAATAATAAATAATAATAAATAATAATTCGAGGTTCATATATACCGCCTTATCACAACATAGTTCGTAGGTCGTCTCAAAGCGGTTCACAAATAATTATCCGTGGTTATAGGGCCTTTTGCAACCAGCCAATATCTTTCTCAACTCCCTGGGGAGCATAAAGCCGGTGCTGCCATTTCGGCGCTCACACATCCTCGATATCCAGGGGTTACGCTCACTTTTGCTATCTACACCCCTGGAATATGTCATAGCAAAATTGAAGGCACGAAGATTGCAGTTTGATTAGTCTCAGGTAAATAAAAACCTTACAAAACGCTAGGCTGTTACCTGTCCTTTGAAGATTACAAAGAAGAGACGTCCGACTTCAAAGCCTGTCAACTTTTACCGTTACATGACCGCGAGATTCTTTTCATGTATATCAAATCAACAAGGTGGCGCACACCGAGCCTTCAATTTTGCTATGACAAATTCCAGGCGTGTAGAGAGCGAAAGTGAGTTTAATCCCTGGATATCGAGGTTGGCGCTCACACGGCAACTAGCATTATACAATTCTAGCACCACTCAACCAGTACTCATTTACAGCTGAGTAGACTGGAACAAATGGATTAAAGTATCTTGCTGAAAGATACAACTCAGTGTCGTGACGTGAGTCGAACTCGCAATCCTTCGGTCACGAGCCCGGCGTCCTACCACTGGAGTACGTACCGTGCCTCCACAACCCTAATATAGACCCCTAGGTCACTGTCTTAGTTTAACGTTAAATAAGCCAGCACATATCCTGAAAACAATCAATCAATTTTAACTAAACAAGGATTGAATTGCAAACCATGGGAAAACAAAAAGTAAGCCATTCTTTCTATATTGCTTCTGGGCCTGTATTGTCTTTAGGCGCTTCTGGCTGTGTCTGCTATTATATAACAGGTACATGTAATATATGCGTCTTTGCTTTTACCGCCTTCCTGTTGATGGAACTACAGTATTAGCCTATCTCAGTAGGAGGGGTGGAGAGGGTGCGCACATTTCGCTTCAGTATATCATCCAGCAGACGACAGACACTCAATCCACCAAACCATTAAAATCGAATCAACACTGAATATCAAATTACTTTTATTTTTGTAATTACAAAAGCGCAAATAATCCTTCAATTGTACCTTAGGTTATGTCATATCTAGCATTTTTCTAAAAAAAAAAAAAAATGCGTCCTTAACCAAGGCAAATTTATATAATCTTGCTTATTCATTAAAACGGTCTCTAGAGAGAAGTTTGAAAAGGAATGGAAAAAATGGGAAAAACTTCTTTTGTTTTGTAAAAATAATATTCGGATAGCTGTCTCCTGGGCTTTGAAATGAATTACAAAATCAATAATGTTCTTCCATTTCATTTATTCATACATTCATAAGCTTGAGCTCAAAAATATAATAGTCCATCCCCACCCACTCTCTCTCTCTCTCTCTCTCTCTCTCTCTCTCTCTCTCTCTCTCTGAACTGATTCATGAATTTTCAGTTTACAGTTTTTAGTAGCTTTTCATTATTTTTTGCATTTCTATGAATTCTTACTTGTTTGTGTATGTAAGAGTGTGTGTATGGGTGGGTGTGAGTAAGGGCGATTGTGTATTGATGGCGGATGTAGAGTAGAAAGATGATGTGTTGATGTAAAAATACACAAGTGTTAATGTTGTGATGCAACTGAAAAGATGCATGTACTTATAATATATGAAATCATTTCATCTTACATGAATGAATAGAGGATGATGATGTTGATGATGATGTTGATGATTAATGATGATGAGGATGATGGAGGTAACAACATCACAATGTATGTGAGATGATGATGATGATGAGGATGAGGATGATGGAGGTAATGGCATCACAAAGCATGTGAGATGATGATGATGATTTATATAATCTTGCTTGAGGAGTTCTATACTGCTGACAGTATAAGGAATTGACTTTGCAGCTAAACATGTTTAAATTAAATTTTCTATTTGAAGCTATGTTAATTTTGTTCATGTTAATGTATATTAGAAATATAAGCAATCACTTTGCGACTTTTCTACATGTACATGTCTATTTATATATTTCACTGTGTTTTACTATTTTGCCTTCAAAATACTTTGCAGTTACAAATGTACAAATACATCTTTGAATTTGAATTTGAATTTGAATATAATCTGAAACTTCCTGAACTGTGCAAATGGTGTTTTCCCCCATCGTATCACGGATTTAGATCAGAGGTATAAATGAAAACAAGTCGAAGACATTTTATTTCCATCCGCTCTAGTGAGCTCGGTATATATATGCTATCTAAGTCCGTGATCGTATCAACACTTTTCAATTAACATGACTCGAAGATATGAAATAAATGAAAACAAGTCGAAGAAATTTATTTCCATCCGCTCTAGTGAGCTAAATTGAAAAACCGTATAATCTCCAATAAAATATGGAAACGAAAATGATTTAATTCTCGTCTTTCGGCTGTTGATTGATTGATTCGTTTTACCACGGACTTACGGTCTAATCTAATTCCGTGGTTTTACGAACGTCCGCTTCTACAAATGTAGCCACGAAACCTATGACGTCACAATGTGTCATATTACATAGGTAAATTCTCCGGTTAGTATAGGGGCGTAAGGATGTTCATTTGCACTGACAATAATTTTAAAGAGCGGAACATTTATGCGATTTTTACTTATATTATACCTAAAACTTTGAATAGAGTGTTAATTTTCATGGATGTTTGAAAATTCTGTTCAATCAACACACGCAATATTATGACATGGCGTATTTACTGAATAAAACGGTAATCATGTGATAACATATATATATAAAAATATAGTGCCCTATCTACAAAGGGTTTACGCATTTCAGTCTCTCATCCTGAGTATGCAAAACACCAACAACTATAGTATTAGTCAGGTTACTCCTGGTCTCAAACAGAAAGTAGCCGGCGGCCGTTCCACTAACGGTGATTGTAAGTAATTCTATATTTTGTCATAATCTGAAAGAGTTTTATTTGTGGTAGAGGATTTTTTTATAATTATGATGTTCGCTTAGCACAACAGTCAAGCAGCTATTTTGCTGCAATATGTACATTTTAACAAATAACTATGTTCTAATTTGCAAACTTCCTGATCAGTAAAAAACAAGTGTACTGTAACGTAAATCAAATGTCCTTGACCTAACAACATGTGATAACTCCATTTCAAGCGTTTGAATATGTATAATATAGTTTCTTCCTATCGATAACACATATATCTAGAGTATGATCTGATCAATTCGGACGCAACAGAGCAACTTCCTGTTAACCTTACAATGACAAAGTTATAATTATGTTTTCATTATTTTTTTTGTGATTGTGTTTTTTTTAATATGATATACAATGTAGCATCAGGTGACCAGTTGAATTTGCCAATTAAACAAAAAAAAAGAGCAAGATTACACAGCTTTACACTGTTAATCGACAATGTTTACTTTTAATTGGAAAGTGAGTATGCAATCGCTTCCTGCACGAATGACAACTAATTCAATCAGTCCTCACGTTGACATTGAAAGACACCTTATTATGTGACTAGTTTCTTTGCCCATCTATTTATTTTTATACTGTAATACTGCTACAGCCCATTTAGATGGAATGTGTCTAGAGAAAATGTTTACAAAATCATTGTGGTTGGTATGTGCTGCATTTTGAATCACAAGAAAATGAAGAATGCAAAAGGAAGTTCACTGGACATCATAGGTTTTGGTGCTGCCTGTAGAATAGTCAGACTTACCTGACTAGCATGACAGTCGCAAACAATTGCAAAGTAAACAATGATGAAATGTTGCATTTAAATATCATCAAATATTTTACCTTTACCAGGTGCATTTCTATTGTTTCTTCATCCAATAAAAAGTTATAATAATAGAGCTACCTTTCTGCAGGTTTTTGACTTAAAAAAGAGTTTTTGCTTACTTTTCTTCAACATCCTTGGAGATATTAATAAAATGTTTTCTTTCATTACCAAAAAAATGTTGCTCATAAAGTTGCTAGATAACCTTATCCTTACAAACTGTCCAACTAAGTACGACAAATTGTAGCTCTCCTTCTTCTTATATAACTTATGTTAACGCCCAGCCTCCTCTGTCCCAACTTAATACATCAAAATTATCTTGTCATCAGAAGCTATGTTATTGCAGATTTCTATTCTGGGCATATCGGATCATGATGCTGTCTTTCTAAAACTGTTCCCTTGAAAATCATCAAAATACCTTGTAAAATAATTTTATATATGTTATATATAAATGCAAACTGAAATTCAATAAAAATTATCTCTGTTCTATTTTGATATTTCACCCAACGAAATCTTGACTGTTAAGGCTTTTGGGAAATATTGAAACAACTTCTACAGCTCTACACATTGGTTGGCGATGATATCAAACACGAAGTGGCCAAAATAAAGAAGGAAAGCTCTTGAGTTAGACATGACATTAAAAAAAAAGGATATAAAAAAGATTGTCTTTACATAAAGAACAACGAAATTGAAATACAAAACAAACCTATCAAAACTACATAGGTATGTCTCAATAGTGTTTTATTTAGATATTTGGTCACTCTCAACTGAAGCTGACAGTAATGACTAAGCAATGAAAAGTTCTGGACCTACATTTATTACAATTGATTACAGCAGAGTGATTTCAGTCAGGAAAGATGGTAGTTATAAACTTAGTCTACATAAAGCTAACATTCTGATTAACCACTTTCATTCTGTATGTCCTAGTCCTGATGATGATAGTTTAGACACATTCTACCAGAACTATGCTATGAACAACAAGTACCCTGAAATCTCCAAAACCCATGTAACAGGTTTATAAATATGGTATTGAAAATCTACTTCTCAAACTGATAACACACAAGCAACCTCATTAAACCAAATGTCCTTTTAAAGGAGTTAGCAACAAAACTATCATCCAGCCTTAAGTTTTCTTTACTATCATCCAGCCTGAAGTTTTCTTTAAAGCTGAATGATATATCTTATTCAGATCATTTTGACAATGGTCATGCTTGTTCCAAATGGAGAGCAGTGTAAAAACAGGCCCAGAAGAACTATTGTCCAATATCCCAAACATGTATCTGCTGCCAACTATTACCACATATCATTGTCAATAACATCATCAGCCATGCTGTCCACGTTAGCATGGCTTCATACAGTCCATGTGAGAGCCAGTCGAGTTCCTTATACAAGATCTGGTTTAAACACCTAACCAAACATAGTAATAAAATAGGTCCACAAAGTGCATTTTTTGAAAACTTGAACTTCACTTCTTCAAGTTTCAAAATGCTCCCAGACCTTATATAACAGAAACAAAATCAACATGAAATTCTACATAGACTGGGATGACGCCCAATGCTCAGGCCATGCAATCACAAAATTTTATAACTTAGAAATGTTCTCGATCAGTGCTCTAAATCACAGGGCTCCTAATGTTCCTCTAGTATTAATTAAATAAGCAACCTTTTTATAAATCTAAGTGACTTTTTATCTGCTTGTAGCATCATGAAGATAGGAACAGTTTGGATGTTGGTAGCAGCTGGTCTGGCTGCAGTTAGCCTCTCAGAATCAGGTTTGTGTTGAGAACAGCAGGGAAATATTTTGTGTGTTTTAAAAAAAAAAATCATGGTTTGTGTTAAGGGTAAAATATTTATGTGTTGAGAACTGGGTCAACCAGAAATGAAAACTATTTTAAGTACAGTAAGTATTGAAAGTGGTCAAAGTCCAGACAATTTATATGTGTTCATTGCTTTGCATAATTACACATAACAGAGTTTGACACTCCGAGTATTCATCCGAATGTTGTATTAAACTCTTAATCTGATCTCATGCTGTCATTTGTTATATCAACATCATTATTATTTCAGGAGAAAATAAGCATTTATTTGATAATGATGATGGAAAACATAGTCAGTCTTGAGTACCATGGTGATGGTACATGATCAGTCTGATTACCATGGTGATGGTACTTAGTCAATCTGATTACCATGGTGATGGTACATGATCAGTCTGATTACCATGGTGATGGTAC